CGACCCATTCGGACCCAACGGATGACACATCGCTGAATGGCCAAACAGGCAAACTAACTGAACATTGCAATGACAGTGATCACGAAATCAGAGAAGGAAGTGTAAGAAATAAGGAGACAGATGTCGCTAGTATTGCTGTTAGTGTTGCTCTTGTTATCGGTAGGTACTTGTTGCTTTCGGTCTCGTGTTTGACGGCAACGTCTTGCCGAAGTTTCTGTGCTTGCTGTGCTTTCTGCGGACAGAAAGTTAGCCTTATCGATCGGCCATTCGTGCTGCAGCAACCGGCACTAACTATCAGCCCGAACTGATCGAACAGGACCGCGGCTACACGGTAAGGCCAACGGGATGAAACAACATAATGGTGAAAGATAATCTATAATCGCTCACAGTTCTCATTGATAATCGACCAATAGTCCAGAATGAAGAAGCTTACTGAATGAAAAAGCAGGAACGATTTTATATCCGACAATAAAATAATTAATTCAAATTTATGGGCGTGCAGGACACGATCGGTAGCAGCATGTTAGACGGTTACAGACTGACCATTCCGTTCAGCGCGCATCTCCACGAAGTCTCGCAGTTCATCCATTTTTCTTTCTTGCTTAACGCTAACTTAGTAAACAAGCTGAGGAAAAGGAGGGCCAATAAGAGCAACTCGTGTCTTCCTAATATATGGTTTATGCGTCGCTTGATAATTTGCGCAGCCCGTCTATAGCCGGCGGATGCATGCTTGTATCTATATATAGTACCGCATCGATAGTCATCTGTTACCTGACCTAGACACAAGACGAACGCATTATGTGCAAATTACAATGGCGCTGTCTTCTGCATCTTCATGCGCCAACGTCCCGCTGTTAACGCGGAACTAAAAAAAAAGCTTAAGTATATTTCCTTACGTCTCTAAGTGTTTTTTTTTTCGGTTCATCTTTCTCACGCAGCTGGTTATACCCGTATGCTGCTTATATGAGTATTTAGGCCACAATTTATCCCATCACACGGGAAGTTGCCATAGTGAGCGAGCTTGGATAAGCGCCAGCTGACATTTACAACCGGTACATCTCTCTACGCTTTTACCGGCTCATACAAACTGACAGTACAGTATAATAAGCTCGACCTGATGATGAACAGATACATAGAAAGTTCTATCGGTAAAAAAACAGAGTTATTGTTATTAACTAGTCTAATAACAATAGTGGTCCGAAATAACGCACCGTTATCAATGTCCTGTTGATGTTTGATGATTAGACTATTGTGAAATGTTATTTATCAAGATATCTGCTAACGTCAGCTAGTAATTTCGCCGAGTAACCAAATTTATCTATTGGAAAGTAACGACAGGTGAAGCTGGACGAACGCGATCCGCAAAGCATATATATGTGCTTTTGCTTTTAGGTATTTGTTCAGCGTTGTACACGCTAACCGATCTAGGAATTTTGTTGTCGTACGCCTCCGAAAGGTACGTTCTAAAATTATATACAAAACAGTCTCGTCCATTCAATAACCTTCCATATTCCTGTGATAGATATATGTGTACGTGGTGTCTTATTTAGCTAAATCATTATCTCTCAATTGAAGCTATCTAACCTGCGATGTACAACGCGCGCTATGTGTGCAGCTTTTCTTCTTTTCCTTGCGTTGTCACGCACTATCATGATCTTGATACTTGAAACAATTTAGTGGGATACAACTAGTTGCTGTAGCTTCGCTGTGTTATTCTGTTTGTTTATGCCCCTTTTCCTCAATAGAATGGGGGCCAAGAATAGCGACATGGTTTTTCATGGAATCATACAAAAAAAAACATTTCGCCAAACATCAGCTGTTTCGCTATCGGGTGATACTATTTTCGTTCGAAGAGAAACATTGACCTTTGCTGACATAGCTGTTAACCAGCGATATGCGTGACTTATCCCTTATCTCTACGGAAAAATGATCTTGTATATATTCATGCATTTTTCGGTGACATATTTCCAGGTGGAAAAAGCAGGTATAATAAATCACAGGCCAGAAATTATTTCACGGTGGTCCGACAGGGTGTACCCGTATCAGGAATCGACCCATGTATGTATTACGCAACGACGAAATGGTGAATTAGCCTTATAAACAATAGGCAATCGTTCCTGAGCAAGCGCAAAAAAGATTTATCGCATATCTTCGTAATAGCTAAATATCAGTGGACGAGACAAAAACAACAGCGAATCAAGAGTTTGACTGTCTGTTTAGTTAATAATCATGATGACCCAATTGTCATTGCTAAGTTTTTTTTTCGAAACGCTTTGCACGAATGACCACAAATTGTGATCGCTCTTGCTATTGAGGGCATCACTAGGCGGGGGCATACTACGCCAAGCCACGTTATGATATCTCGGCTAGCCGAACTATATAAGGCACATATAGAGAAATATCGCAGATTGCATTTATTCACCCAATAGTGAAAAGGTATCTCGTTTTTTTTTGGCGAGCTGAAGATACTGATTTCGATTATGTCCTGCGGCGATATTTGTTCGTATGAACAGCCGGCGGTGGCAGGACTAGTTAGTGCGCTTGCTTATGGCTAGCGTCTTTCATCTTGACCTCAAGGACACACCTGACTCGAGTCTATTCAGTGGCCTAGAATGAAACTGATGCTTGTACCTAGCGGTTCCTTTCCAGCATCCTAATCCGTATTTGTTGTTCTGCCAAAAGTGTGCGGTACGCATAATGTCATCAGTTGCTTTTCGTAATTAGCAGCACAGCTTACGCACGATGTTGGTGTGATTACCGGCGAGTACAGATCGGAGTGAAAGCTTTTCAACTATTTTCCACTGTAAATCAGGCGTATCATCGTCCAGTATGTCACTAGCGGTAAGACCCAACGCCAGTTGTGCTAATGGCAGATCGTTTCGGATGCTCGGAAAAGGTGTTTTCGCTGCAGCTTCGGCTAGCTTCCATTGTTTTTGCTATTGCTTGACGACTCAGCGTCCGGCATCAGACATTAAGAAACTGCTTGACGAAACCTATTTAACCTTTAGACCAGCACTGGCCAGTACCTGTTCTATTTTCTAACGACGTTTTCATATAATTTACGCATCTTATATAGAGATATCGTATAAAATATGCATGATTGTCAAATCATAGACGATAGTAGCTGATTGGAATCCAGCGTTAACCCCGGAAGACAAGCTATATTCTTCTAGTTCCATTCAGCTCTTCAGTAAGACAGCTTCGTTCCTTGGTTCGGCCGTTCGCTCGTTTGCTTCATTTCTTCCAGATCCGTCGGTTCGTCACCAACTAAACAGCAAATCTACGGAGGAGCTGGTACATCGATTGCAGTTGATGCTGTTCGCTGGGCTGTAGGAGGCTATCCGCAACTCGTTCTGAAATTTTCTTCTACCAGTTTACTCAACAGATAGATAACCATCTCACAATAGTCTTCTTCATATTGTTGTATGAGAAGATGGCGGTAACTATAACAGCAACGGTTTCGCTCTTGCCACCGATGTCGACTTGATTCGACTGCCATTTCGGCCGCTGTTCTGTTCTGATCTGCCTGCTCGGTTTCGCTGATGGCCCAGTGGTACACTTCTACCACCGTACTATAATGACAAAAACAGCCCGTCCGCCTTGTCGTTCGCAGAGCGGATGTCGTTACAACAACTGTATTTTTTTCTTTTGCCTAACTGATTTAAATCAGCCAAAACAAACAAAGTCATATTAACAACAGCAGCAGCAGCATCACGCAGATCGAGGCAGACGGAAATTTCTAGCCATCAACAACAATTGAGTATGTAATTCGTAGTTAGTGTAGATTTTGGCTGGGTCTATGTACGATCTGACTCTGATCATACACGTAGAAGTCATATTAACTACTATAAATCGAATTAAATAGTCTGGAGCCATACGTGTGTATTGTGCTTAATATATGCTAGCCGGAGAGTAACTGAAACGAGCGAGAGAGAGCGACAGTTCCTGCCGGCAAAAAGTAGGAAATCTGATATTGCTAATATGGCGGCAGCAGCATGACGAGCGAAACACGTTACGTTAGCGGCTCCGGCCGTCCGCCAACCCCGGAAGACAGCGACGATTTTAGTCGTCTTCGGTTAGTCTTCTTTGGTCGCCAATGAAAGTTGGGGGGGGGGGGGGGGGGGGGGGGGGAGGAGGCCGGGACGGTCGACTGCAGCAACGGCGTCTGGAAACGAACAGCCAAACTGTGGTTGTGCAACTACAACCACCCGTAGAACTATGACCGACTGCCGTAGAAACACCGACGGCGACGGCGACGGCCGCTATTACGCATACAAGAGGTAGTCACTGTATAGCGTCCAGCAGGATGTACGGCATCGCCGCTGTCTGCAATGGCCCCGTGTCGTCGCAATGGCGCACGCATTGATAATGATAGCATCGACTAATGGTGCGGTGAAGTCCCGTTAAGCGTGCTGAGTGAGAAATAGCTTTCATCAGCATAGCACGACAGGTATGGCCATTATCACGTCTAGTCTCTGTGATCTACGCTCTGTGCCATATAGTCCGTAGTGCTCGGAACAAAACATAGCGCGCCGCCAAATACGACCGATGGTGGCGCTGCACGTCAAGCAAGCCGATTAAATTGTCCCCGCTTAGCTAGCAATTTTAACAGTTGTTCCAACAAACATCAGCTGGTGCGGCTGAGCCCAATATCAGCTGATGAAGTAATGTCGAAGATTGAGAGTGAATGTATCGGCTCGTCTACTTTTACGTTTCTTAAGCTGATCGTTACGACTAAGTGTCGTGTCATACAATTCTCAGGTGTGATGAGGAACGCATACGACCTAACCAATCGCATTCGCTAGTTCCTTAGAGTTTTTTTTTTTTTTATTAAGATAGCGGCTAAAAGTGATCGTGGATAAAGGTGAGGGCACATTGTCAGCCAGCTGCGGTACTGACGTGCATCTGGCCGTCACTTTTACAGGCAGATGGATGTGCGCCACACATGTTATCATCTAATTCTATCATTAGCAGCTTAGTCTAGTCTTACCGGAACTTACCGCTGACGTGCGTCACCACGAGCCCGTTGTCCTGTTCCGAAGAAATTACAGATAGATATAGGTACACTCTTCAATGGCACATCCGTGCGTCGGAATCCGACCCTGTGTCAGATATCACTGAAGTCACACAGGTAGAGTATGGGTGTGTGTGTGTGTGTGTGTATATATACATATATATATCTATATATATATGTATATAGTAGGTCCCGTCGTATTTCCTTTTGTACAAGCAAGCTTCTGTTTACACTAAAAGTACCGCTGTACACGCACAAATGCACAAGCGCTGGCCAATGTTCCACGGTAACCTTAGTATGATCAGTCGTGCTAGAACTCTGTTAATCCGACGAGTGCAAATCTACTACACGGAACAATGTTTCTGATCGTTTCAGCGTTCGACAAGGCAGCCTTCCTTTTCGATAGCGTTATTGCAGATTTTGGGGGTGCCGTTGGCCGGATGGCTAGCGTAGCTGGTGCTTGCCTTTGCCAAGAGCCAGAAGTAGTAACAGTGGCAGCACTGCGTTCGTCTGACCAGCTGTTGCTGGTGGCAACTGGCAACGCTCTGACTGCCAGCTTCACTCACTCGTTGGACTGCTGCTACGATAGGCACTAGTGATGCTTCTGCGGCGGCGGCGGCGGCGCCGACGGCGACGGCGGCCGATCTGGTGACGGCGGCATCGCCTTGCCTACGAATGGTAGCGGTGGTATGCCTTTGATTATCACGGTGACGATGCGGTAGCAGTCTTGCGTTGCCGACTACGAAAAGGCGGCTGCCATTGCAGCTGTTGGGATCGTGAGTGTTCACCGTGGCGCTGTGGACTGCCGTCAAGAAGTGTAGCCGAAGCAGCTGATGCGACGGCCGCGATGGCGGCGGGAGTGTTCAGGCTTCGGCAGTGTGTGTCCGTCTGTCTGTCTGTCCGTATATGTGTCTGTGGAGTGCCGCGAGTATGACCGGGTGCTGGTGGATCTACAAGGCGATACGTCTGACGATGAATGTCGGATCTGAGCGGCCGCGGCGAGTGTTTTGCGTGCGTGTGTGAGTCTCCGTGTGTATGTGCAGCACTATATGCGCCGTGAAGCTGCCTTTTGCTGCTGCAAGAGCACTCAAGCTGAAGTCAAGTGCCACTGTTGTTTAAAGCTGGCACAATCGCCAGCCTGGATGGCTGGTTAGTTGGCGAAGGCAGCACCTCTCTGCCAGGAGCCGAGCTGTTACTTCTTTGCTGCCACTAAGAGCCACTGTTGTCGCTTTTGCGGCGTTCACCCAGTTGAACTCACATCAGCCTTTTCCTGCTGCAGCCCTACAATCACAACAACGGCAAATGACATCGACAAAGACGAGAGACAGACGCCTTCTTTACTGAAGTCTGCCGAAACGATGTTCATAAAAGCGTTTATTCGGCTGTTTCCTGACTATCTTTCGTCTGACGAAGCCGATAAGGGCGAGGGTGAAGCATGAGTCTACAGTTACCGCCCGCTATCGAGTACTGCATTCGATTACGGGAGCAGCACATTGGTACCCAAAATCTCCCCTACAAATAGTGACCTCTTGGTCTCAGGAAGACGAACAATCGTAACCGAATTTCAATATACGCTATTTGAGTCTATTGCATGAATGTCATGTCCTTGAGGTCAGCGGTTAATAGTCAGTCATGACGAATAAACGCATTTTCATCACCGGTCCTAGTAACTTCTAGCTAGGCCAACAGTGTTGCGACAGTTACTGTTGCCTCTGCTATTAGCGCTGTTACGGCAGTTCGCAATGTAGTTGTGTGACCGGCTAGTGGACTAACTGGCTGGTCTCCCAGTTGCGTGCTCAGCCGGCTGTTAGCTACATTGGCGGGATCGCATTAGTTCTTTTGGATCTCGGATACTCCTTCGTTGGCGGTGATGACGTATGGGTGCGGTAATATGTAATAGCGAGGCTGGCGTTGCAGCGTTATCGACTTCGGTCGTAGCGATTGTATGTGTAGCCTCGTATAGCATCGCATAGCTTAGCTTGGGTCGACAGATAGCCAGCGGGCAGATTGACTAACCAACGAAGCGGACGTGGTAAAAGACGTGGTCGTCTCTTCGATTTCGATATCAACATGGTAATTTTCAGACAATTTTTCAACGTCGCACGAGCTTCTTCGCGCAGTAAAACCCGTATGGCGGGTTTCGGCCTGGTAAGCAGTGGTTCGATAGAGCTGATGTAGGACGCTGAAAAGTCAGAATTCAGCTGTCGAGAATACCGAAATTGCATACAGACGAATGTTGCACACGAACGTTTTTCCGTACGGCGGTGTGCGATAGAAATATAGGACGCAAAAATGTTATTTACTCAAAATAGGGTAGGCATTATATTGTAAACAATAATGTGTAAACGAGAAAAATTCAGCTGAAGTTTCAAAAAGTCGGAAAGTAATTGATAGAAACTTGATCGGCGGTGGGGGGCCAGTAAAAAGTTAAAATTTCTTCTAGTTACAGCAGTTACTGTTTAAAGATGTACTACTACATGAAATTAGTTAGAGAAAGCATGATTACGTTATAGATAAGGACATTTGCTTAATGCTATCTTAGGGGCCAGGGGTGTTTGCAGCGTCACCTTTGATGAGGGGCGCCGGTGCACAGCTGGCTTTCGAATTTTTACCACCGTTGCTAAGCGTGGCTTGTTTGTTAGGGTCAGCAGCAGCGGCGGTGACGGTGGTTGATTCTACTACACTTCTGTAATAAAAAGGGCTTCTTGCAAAAGGCTTTCTCTTTGTAAATCAAACGCCTTCGAGCCCTCGCGTGTCAGCTTTATTTGTATGCATTAAATATGGCGCCCATCGTGCAGTCACTCTGCGTACTGCGCCGCCAAGCATCGCACTGAACGAAGTCGAAAAAAAAAAGAAAATCGTAAAGAAATCAGAAAAGCAAGAAGCCTCTCCGTTGCTGCGTCTTCTTTCGCAGTGGCTCAACGGATCCCTCCATGGGGTCTATCTGAGCTGGAACACCAGAGTCCTTTCGAAGCATCCTGACGCCTTGAACGAGCAGCAGTAGCAGCAGCGGCAGCGGCAGGATCAAACCCAGGCAAAATAATCCCGGGCCTAGGACAGCACCAAACGAAAACCAACCAAGCAACCAGCAAGTCGAGTCTTCGTCTAGACAAAAACCTGGCCCGAAGACTTGATCTGATTTCTGCTGTTAATTGGCCAATGGCCGCGATCGCCCGACGACGCTAGTTAATTTTCGAAGCGCGTAGCACGACTGTCGTTCTAATTGCATTGAAGCTCGCTGTATCTTAGAATGATTTCATTTCTCATAGTTCTGCCAAGCAACGGCACCGCCATCAGAAACCAACAGCGTGTACCCAGCCGTAGACGGATTTTGTATCCGCAAACCCGATCCGTAGAACAGTAAATGTGTGAAGATACTAAGACATCATGGCTGGCGACAACTTATTATAATAACGCATTTGATTTTCACTATGTAGGAAGAGACGTTGACGACCTTCGCTATCGAAACCGGGAACCGCTATTGGTAGAAACAGCAACAACAAACTATAGGGAAACGGGCGTCTGACACAACGAGAAGGTATCGCCACTCCTCCAAAACGAGAAACAGGAACCAACGCAGTACGGTGGCAGTCTCAGCAGTAGCTGGAACAGCTCTAATAAAGACAACCTAGCAGAGACGTATCGATAATTTCGTTGTGCGTTCTCTGAGGTCATGTGATGCATTCGCGCCCGTAGAAGGTTACGTGTCATGCTGGTTTATAACGCTGGTAGCTCAGTGAACTGCAAATTGCTACTCTGCGTTGGCCGGTAAGAACTTCAGCACTTTTACAAAAGGTTGCCATTTTAGGTTCTAAGAAATCTATGGCATCGTGATTCTGGGTGCGTTCTGGGGTCGCGGTTTATACAGAATTAAAGGAGAATGAATTTATTTCTATTATATTGTAGTCGGTCTATAAAGGAAAGGCTTGGTATGAACGTGAACCAATGAAAAAGTAAATTTGTTTATGTTTAGCCGAAATTGTATGGAGAAGTTGACTTTTGTCCCATGGGATGAGAGCCGAGTTACGTTGAAACGGATAACATAAGTCTTAAATGGATGGCAATAGATTGAAACGGATCAACGTCCGCACTTCCAACGTACCCCGAGAATAGATTCGATGAACCAAAAGGTTTTACAGATGTCGATAAGAAGATCTCCTTAGCCCCTAATATTTTAAGCATAGGAGGTCGTACCTTTGGCGTCAGATATCATTGTAAATTTGAAAGAGAGGGTAAAGCGCCATGATGAGCTGTATTTTTAGGTGATATTATTTTGTATAGCGTAATCTGCTATGAGCCGGTCGAATTAGAGTAAAAAAACTCACTTCATCCAAGTAGGCTGGATTAGAATTCTTGTCTCCTCGAGGAGAATCGACCTATAACAGTGCTATTATATTTTATTGTGACCTCAAAGTTGGCAAACTTAGTTGAAGGAACTTAGGGGTCTTATGGCCCTATATCGGGCCTGTACAATCGACCGCTGCATACCTTATAATGACAGAAACGTAGCAAGCTTATCCTGTTGCAAATACGTTGTAGTCTTGCCTTTAGTTTTTAGAAATAAGCTTCTCTTCGGAAATTGTTCAGAGTTATTCCGAAGTCGATGGACCTTTGAGTATGCTCCGTCTCACAACGCTAAAGTACGCTCGCGCGATTCTTATGTACTCTTACCTTGACGTATATTGAAAACGTATATCCTAGCTATTTCCTGATTTAGCTTGCTTCTTTTACACAATGAACGTATCAAAGAAGTTAGTTTTAATTTAGCGATTTATTATCTGAAACAAATTATGCGAAAGCGAACGTCCAGGCAATTTTGCACCAATCTGCAGAGTCGAACCGCTCGCTGTCTGTCTATAGTTAAACAATAGATAGCTTTGTAGCGGATCTGGATCCTATAGCAATAATGGGAACAAAATATTTCGGACGCCATTATAGGAAATTAGACAGCAGAATAACCAGTCTCTCGATTGTTGTTTCGCAACACTGCATAAGGTCTCCATGTGCTCAAAACTAATAATACGTTAACTTATATACCTCAATAATTCTGCGCTAATTCATTTCTAAGTTCATTCATTTCTAAGATTAGGTTCATTCAGAGCGTGTTTTCTATCTGCTTCACCATAATAGCTAAACGCCTCGGGTGTTGCCTTCAAAGCCGTTACACTGAGATGTTAGTCATAATTGCTATAGCACCCCCGCGCCTTTCTCCTTCAGCAACAACATCGTATTTACATCCGCTATCGCATATATGTTTCTAACATTCACAAGCAGACAAATTACCGCTGAACTATCATGAGGACTTCTCGTTTTATAACAACACCGATGGGAAGTTTACCACCACCAAGGTTCGATGCCTGTTATTTCTGCTGAAAGATAATGTTTCAGGTTCTCTAACAAAACGCTGACGCAACCCGCGACTACAGCGATAGCCAGTAACGAGGTCGGCATCGGCTCTGTTAACAGATCGTGCTGTTTGCAATGAAGTTATCATTCAAATCCTCATATCATGACCTCTCATCTCGTGCTCTCCTAATCCTTTCGAGCCGTTCTTCGGCCATATCGTCAACGATGGAAGCAGTGCGACTATAAATTTAGCGCCAGGGTAAATGTGCCCTTCTTGAACAGGATGTTCTATACGTCAATACATTTACGTTCGTACCATTCACTGTAGTACTGATATAAATACATAGTTAATCGTTAATCTGTTCAAGTTCTTCATGACAACATCACTCATCAGCCAATCCATCTGTTCATTACTTGTGTTACTAAGATGATTTTTCGGCGAAGACAGGTAGAACAAAGATTTCGGACGCCAGCAGTAGCGTGAAGGTTGAATTTGCAACGCGATCGGAGCCGTTCACACCACTATAATAATGACTAGTTTGACTTGGTTTTATGTCCCAGGTTTTACATTGTTAAAATAATTAAGATTTGTCCGTTAGTACGAGGCAAGAAATGTGGCACGGACGGCGGCGATGCTGGCAGACCAAACAGCAGCTAAGTAACCGAGCAGACCAATGTGCTACCGGTAGTGGCGCTAGTCGCATGGTAAGTGGCCGAGCGCTGACATTTAGCCCTGACCGCCTTCGTAGCTTAACTGCAACCACTTCTATAGAACCATGGCTATATTGTCTCGCCAACGTGGATCGTTTCGCTTGGTCATGGTTGTTCGGCAATGAAGAACGAGCATAGCGCTTTATAATGGCACTTTGCACCAAAAAAAGTACCAGTATACAACGAGAACTAGCCTTATAATAGGGTTCCGACAAACACTATATTAGCTATCGGTGTACTATAGCACATCACGACCGAAGGTCAGAATGAAACGCGAATTAATATTCAATAAACAACAAGCACTGAAACTATTATTATTGTTGTTTATATTAATATTTCCAATGTTTTTGGTTATAATTAGCAATGTATGCCGTCAACAATAGAGGATCGCAGTTATCCTTGCTCCGATAACTATTATAAGGTCCGATGATCTTGGCAGTTTGATGATGTACTCTGTTCAGTTCAATTGAAGCTTCGATAATGGTATTAGCTGACAAACCCGCGCTTATTGAAGGACCCATGTGCACAATGAAGTATCGTTTGAGGTGTCGATTGGATCGACCTCTATTCCATCGTGAGGAATTGAACTGAACACCTCACTAAGGTCAGCGTGTTCATTTAATACGCTATTGCGTGTTTTTGACTGGTTCGTGGAAGACAAATGAAGAGAAGAACTTTTTGACAATAGCGGAAATTTTGGTAAGATTAAGTTTAAAAAACAAGTAAATACAAACATAAATAGTAACTGTGACAGTTTACAGCTGTAGTTTATTACTGACAATAAACAGAGTCGTGATTACGTGAATGGAAGTAACGTAAAACGGAGTACCGTTGTTATACGTAAGCGGCCCTGTCTGAATGTGAACATTAAACGTTTTGACTTCGAATTTCGAGAAAATGTTTACCGGAAGAAGAACGCCTTTCGGGTGATGAAAACGCCCGATCTTGCTTGGAAACGCTACATTGAAATCGTTGGCAAAATACCTTCGCGAGAAGCTATCGATTTATATATATATATAGCGAATGAAAACTATATTGGTATATTCCTTTTGAAGATGACGTCAATGGCAATTTTCTAGCTATAAAAAATCATATTTGTAGGGAGTTGTTCGTTTAGAATCATCGTTATCGACACCTCTGGCCCAACAAAAGGATCCCAACTTCTTTCACCGTCAACAAGCTGTACGCCCACAAGATTTTGGATTTCTTCCAACAACGTCAGACTGCCGACGAAAACTTATATATTAACTCATATATAAAACTTATGTATTAAAGGGTTATATATTAACTTAGATATAATTCATATTTCACCATTTTTAGAGACATTAGTAGCGGCTTTCTGCAAAAAATCAACAGGTCCAAGAGCAACGAAGTATTCCACCAAACAGACTTTGAAAAAATACTATTTTGCTGAGCAATGTTATTGCAAAACGAGAATCGAAATATGTTTATTTTTTTTTATCAGGCCGAAAATTGTGCGATCCTTAACATATACTAGAAAATTCCGCAGAATATATGTTATTCCTGGTTTATATTAGTGGAACGTTTTCGCACCATTAACTATAGGTTAGACGTTAGGCTGAACCCACAATTAAGCGTTTCCTAATGACCCGATAGATTTTATGTTTGCACAGGCCGAGTCATAATAGAAAAGTGGGTGAAGAGGAGCAACGGCAATCGCGAATAATTGCGACGATAAAAAAAACTCTTTGTTGCTGGCATGGCTTTGTTATGTACTTCGCTGTCGTTTTTTTTTTTTTTCTATCTCATGTTAGGAAACGGTTAATGCCTATTGTGAACTAAACAATGGAACCTTGAAGCGGTCATAATTTCCTTAATAAGGCAAAAAAAAACAGGAAAGTTTAAACGATGCTAGAATTTCTAATTGGAGTTTGAATAAGACTCACAAATCCTTGCACCGACTGCTTAAACAAAGTTCTTTGTCTACCAATGGTTTTGCTCGCTTACCACCTTTCTTTATGGCTATACTATATGTTATTGTAGGCACATCTACCACATTAATTAATTGACAAAGTTCTAATCAATCGCTTTTTACTTAAAGTATAGACAACACACTAACTGCTGATGGTAGCAGGACCCCAGACGAAAGTGTCAAATAAAAATTGAAAGCAATTCGTTTGATGTTTGCGCCCCTCTGTTCCTTATCGGTAGAAAACTACTACGGCTTTCGCTTACCCCAAAAGTAAAAATGGAATATCCGTCAAGTCGACGGCGTATGGTAAACACGTCGGCTGGTGTTTTATTTGTGTGGATCTCGACTGCTGAACGTGAAAAGAAGGAGAAATATCCCAGCTGTCGATGAAAGGAGTTCTCTTCTTAACGTCGGGGTGATAGTGCTGGTGCTTTGCCTGTTTGCAGCGAATTTTCATGTAAGTAACTATTTTCCGCCGCCATCAGGTGTTCTGATTTGAAAATTGCCTAGAGCGCCTTAAAGGATCATTACGATTTGATTAGTTCTGAAACCGAAGTAGCGATAGTCGAGTTTTAGAGATATGTTTGGTTCTACTTACGACAGCGTAAGGGCACTACCACGTTTCAACAAGCATAACTCAGCTTATGATTTCGATCATGCCATTATCTTGTACACCTACCAAGTAATTAAACCAACACAACGAAATAGCTAGTGACTATAATTGCGGTATGTGCGACGCCACGCGTGCTACCCTTAGCAATCCGGGAAATATCTTGGTTTGGCGGAATTTGTCTTCAGTGCAATTGAATTGTCCCCTCTATTGGATGCATGGATCAATGACCGCTTAGGGGAAATTCCTCAGACCACATCAACTAAAGAGACATTTTTGCCGACAAATCTCATATGTATATATATCACTTGGAGTAATGCCAAACAAGTATTAGGATATGTGAATTTATAATAAGAGTGGACTTTATCATCATTCATGTCGTAGTGCATGTAATGCTATAGCACGTATCTCGCTAACATTTGTATCCGACTTGTATGGAAGGTGAACCAGGTTTGAAACCTAGCAGAGGGAGATTCCGAGAAATCCAAGGAGACAATGAATGACGGATTGAAAAAAGGGGCACTCAGATAGAATATGGATTAGAAGTTTTAGAAAAAAAAACTCAAGCTATGTTTACAGGAAACATGTAACACTAACTAAAAAAATGCAAAGGTTCTACACGGCGAATGTTAATGACAGGGTAGACTGAAAAATGAAATTGTTATAAAAATAATAGGCTTTAAGAAGATACGCGTTGTAAAGGGGTCAGTGTAAACAAGTTAAATGGCTATTGCCAATTCTATAATGACCCGCGGTATCATTACACCTGCCGTAAAAGCCACAACTACTCGTCAGACATAGATTTTGATAGACATAGGGCTAGATTTTTTCTACCACTGCATGCAATGAAGGTGTTCCGTACCATGAAAATTTTCAACCATAACAGATTTAGTAATCAGTAAACATATACTGCCGTATATGAACAGTACGCAACAAGAAACATATATAATAGGTGTAGGTGGAATTTGCTGAAATTTTTCACAGTTATGATAATAAAGTTCAGGGCAATTGAACGACAGTGTATACAGACAACAAAAGCTGAGTCTAGATGTTTATATTGGCCATATTACAAACCTAGATGTAGTGAGCGGTATGCGCGTATCGGAAAAGACGATAGGGTGCACTGCTCGTGGAGCACAATTGCCGCGTCTGAACTTCTGAACGAACTAAATGATGCATCTGCGACTGCCTAAGCAACTATCAGGCAGTAAAGCTTATCGACGAGAACGAGACAGATCCGGCTAGAACCGTAACGTGTTCCAAAGTCCTTATTTGGATAGTAAGCGGCTGCTGACAGGGCAGCTCATCTTCGGCAAAAAAGCGACAAAGATCCTCGTATTCTCCTTGGCAAATTATTTGGTATTAAGATTTCAAAAACATTAAAATTCTAGTGGAAGCGTAAAAGTACGAGTAACAGTAAGAAACTAGGGGATGCTTCACAGATCCTTGCCACATTAAAAGCAGTCTTCAAAGTAATACACGATCAGTAAGATCAGTTTCACTCAATTAATCAGATCTTATCTTCAACGAATTGTGCGTCGCAACTTTGTAAAGCACTCCACGTAAATAAATAAAACTTTACTGCAAATGAAATCTCGGCAAAATATCTAGTCCGCCTTAATAGTCTATGAAAATTTCGATTTTACTGCCGTATAATTTTAGGCGCTTTCCGTCCAAATCTAGTTGTCACCCAGCCATCAGCCGTCACCCAGATCATGTTTATTCTTGTGATATTGAAGGAGGCACGAATATATCGAAATTGTCTAGTTTAACTATTACACCCAAAGGCTTCCATGAGTAGATCCTAGTCGCACCACTGTTTCCTCGAAGAAATAGAGAGAATATTATTAACAACAACAGTTTTTTATTGTTCTCTTCGGTACACAACAAAACAAAATGTACTTACTGAGTTCTCTGTGCTCGGATGCTCCTTATTGCGCCGAGCTGCTTACTGAGTGGTTGTTTCTCATGTACGTACCATATTTGCTGCTTTCAGGCATTGCACTTGTTGTAAATGTTCTATAGATACGATTTATACACTGGGCTGGCAGCTAATAAGGCGATAACTTGTAAGAAAAGAATAAGCTTAACTCATTTTTCTTTCTAGCCTTTATGTTCACTACACTAGACTGGAAAATATGCCTGTCGTTAATTAAAGTTGGCTAGGTCAGTCTCATCTTCTGAATTTTGTGAATCTAGAGAAATGAAAAAATGTCCAGGAAGCGAGGTGATTTCTTTCGCTTAGCCGCTTTCGACTTTTGATGTAGAGTTCCATGAGTTCGCGTCCATCATCGAGACGAATGCCGAGGCGGGAAGTGATAAATGTGGACTGCCTTGTTGTAGACATAGGCTACCAGCACCAGTCGAAGTCGCTGCTTGCCCGGCCGCCATGAGATTGCGTAACGTCAAAATATCTTGATCCCGGCGGGTAATCTGTCAAGGGGAACGCAGATGTACCAACTATATTGCACCCAATATTAGGTATCACCAACAAATTAATCTAAAGGATTGAGTATTTATAAATCACCGAGCCTTTCTCTACCTCATACTCAGGGGTCCAAGATTGGTCAGCTTCTAGGCGAAAAGAGCCGATGTGCTTCTGGTCTGGAGCCTGGCTACCCCATTCCTGCGAAGCGGCTCGACATGCCAAAGCAGAACGAATACAGGAGAATTAATTACATAACCATTTCTACACTTAATTGTTACAGCCCCCGCCAACAGTCAATGCTGCAACCATTTACAATAAAATAAGTGGGTTCAGATGAATGCTATGTCATGTCCATAATGAGAGCAAGCAAAGAGCATTGAGGTCTAGCTGTTTTTTTAGGCATCATTTACCTGTGGGCTAAGCATTGAGAAGTACTGTTTTCCTGTTGATTTTTCATATAAATGATAAATTTGGCCCGGTGCCTGGAAATAAAACAAATCTTAATGTTCCAGATTCACTTATATATATATAAAACTTATAATGTTATTTTATAAGCTACGACTACTTGAGAAAGAATATGCAAGTATTTACGCTGTGTGTAATCGACCCTATGCTCAATCTCTTATCATTACCTTTCGAAAGCTACATTGGACTTCATGCAGTTTCTGATCTCGTTGAGCCGATTCCAGAACCTATTGACAATTTTCGAAGACTTCATTAATACCTTCATATACAGAAATTAAATGATATAACCATCTATTACGCCACGAACCTCCTTGTTTAATAGGCATTAAAATTGATGACACAAAATTATGCGTTTAGAGATACCGCAAACTTAGAGAAACACTCAAAGCACTGCTTACCGAAATCGCTTGCTGCCGAAGAAATTTCATCTGGTCTACAATAGGTTTCAATTTGTTGCATGCATTAGCTTGAACAAAGTTGTTTGCCTGTAAGTAAGCACGTATCATGCGAAACTTATTACCATACTCAAGTAAGTTACATGCATCACCTTTCAATTAATACATATTCACATATACCCAAAAATAATCGTAGAACTCTGATCGGAAGCATCGAATAACATGAGAAACAAAATGAGTTATCGCGGATCAAATTTGAATAAAACTATCCAACTGCGGACAGTGAAATGACAACAATGAAACGGATTTAAAAAGACTACATTTTATGAGACAGTTGCTAATTTTATCAGGTCTTCGATCTTTAATTAACTTTCTTTTATTGGCAGATAGCTGTGCCCATCGATAGAGCCTCTAAATTGGCAAATAAATACACACGAGTTTTACATTAGCCACGCGGTCTATTATGATAAATTTTACGTCATACTGTTCGCAAAAACTTGTAGAGGACTGGCCACGCCGTTCTACTACAGATTCAAGTTGTTTTTTTTCTTTGTATCACCGTAGCTTACTCTTAAAAGCTCAGTCATGGAATGCCGAACTATATGTTCGCACCATTTAATGGATTTTCGCATGATCAACAAACCTCATGTAACTGTTGAGCGAGTGCTACCACGTCTTCACGTGGCATTTTTGAGGGCGGCCCGTGTGGAGCGTTTGGAGAAATTTCCAATAGACGGATATTGTTCTTACTATGCCCATCGACTTCTGTAATTTGTATAAATTACAAATAATAATAAACATCTTAAAATTCGTTAATATCATTGATTGAAAAGGGGATTGTTTATATCCAGGTGTGAGCAATAAAAAGAAAGTGTGCCGTTATTAATTTGAACGTCTATACTTAAGTACACATTAAATAAGAAATAAATAATCAAAATCTTGAAGCATGTAAAGACACAGTAGTTAACTAACCACGTGGGCAAAATGGCTCTACTATAAACATCAAATCATTTTTTTTTAACTGATTTTTTAACTGCTGATTTTAACTGATACCACTATCTAATTTTGCGTATTCTAGCTACCTTGCCGTGCACAGTTAATGCTTTCCTCGTATTTACTTTGTGTGTGTAGATACTTGCGTCCACATGAACGTTCCATGGAAGTTCCGCTTTCATATATATATGTATAATATGATTTTATACAGCAGGAAAGAACCTACAGTTCGATAAATTTAACAGCCTGAATCAAGGACGTCTCGTAAAGGTCCTCAATCAAAACATTTTGCCTACTTTAGGTTATCAATGAACTATAAATGCCCTTTTTATTTTCTCAAACAGAAAAGAAATTATAATAATTATAATGCTGAGTCATATGACCCGACATTTGAATTTATTACGTTTAAAAGTGTCCTAGTTCTAAGACTGCCAAGGTAACTCAGTAAGATAAATCAGTATATTTGTTACAGATCTCCCAGAAATCACTGTTCTTTATTTTGGCTACATATAGTCATTGCTTGCGTAAAGCGGTTCTGTACTCAGTTCGGCAACTTTTCATTGCTTGCGTATATTTCAAGTGTTCAGGTAAATTTCAGTGATGTTACATGACCTTTTAAATGCGCCTTATTCAGTTCAGCTGTCTCAGTTACATATTACTAAGTTTATTTAGTGGGTGGTGACCTCGGTGGAATAAAGCCCACCCGTCTGCACTGGGTAGATTCTGCTCTGTGGGCCCATTTTTTTTTTGCACTAACAGCATTACCCCTCTCCTAAAAAAAATGTGGAAGTTGTCCATACTCGAGTTTTTGCCAACCCCAGGACGTTTCTCAGTCTAATTATCGTATCACTGAGAATCATTTTATGACTGATTGATAATGACATAAAAGATTGCAACTATATCACTGCTATACAGCTTCACGTGTAATCGTTCAGGCAACCTCTTCCCGAATTGTAATATGGTTTATCCTTCGTTCGCCACTAGTGGTACATACTGTTTATCTTACACAGATGTCCTTTATAGTAGAAACAATTAATGTCATTCTCAAACTGGAAAAAACACTTTCACTTTCTTTTCTGATTACCATGCCCTAATCATTGAAACGAATTCGCTGAAATTGGCACTTAAACAGCTTCAGTTCTAGCAAAAGCAAGACGAACTATAAGATAACCGGTCAATGGGCGTCGGTCGATGGTCTACTAGAACCCAGAAGGAACGGTTAGTAGTTGAGACCGCATGCGAAAATTGCTTGTGTGACCGCTGACATCGTTGGTAAGCTGCCGTTTCAAGAATCGACCTAAGCACTATTTTTTTGGTAGATATATGCTCGGGCTTTTTTACGCGCTTACTAAATTATCGTCGTAATACGCGTTCGAATTCGACTACTAGGCTTAAAAGTACCTGAAGTGGTACTAGTTTGATTCCTCACTGGAAACCAGCCACCTGAAATGATGCCTAAAGGCAGTACGAGCCGTAAAACTAAAAAACATCTATTTAATTACAGTCTACACAACTTACCCATTATATCGACAAGGAGTTCTAATAATTAACAGTATTTTTCGCGTAAATACGATTTTTAATTCTATTCAAGATTTTAAATCACCGGAAAAAATAATATTCAATTTTACATTGAGTTAACAGTTACATAAAGTTCTCTTTGCGACCCGCTTCGTTCGGTCACAAGAGGCTGATATCGGACTTAAATATTCGTTGAGGGCCGCCATTGTGAACTGTCTGTTTACAATTTTGACTTCTGCTCTCTGTGTATAGCCGCGGAAGAAACGTCAGATTCATTCTGCTGCGGGGAGCTTCCATCATCATATAGTGAAGGGTGTATTTATTTTCAATAAATGCTATTTGTAGAGTACATTACGATTGTTTAGTGTACTAGCACATTTATGAGCTGTAATGTAAGGTATGCGGGTGGAGCAGTGTAAATATTGTAGATGATGTCAGTTTTGCTACGTTCTTTAGAAGTGTGGCGTGGAGAAGGATGGCTCGATGTCAAATTTTGTTACACTTCTATAGCCTCTGCCATTAAATATTTCAAAGGGACATTGTCATGGTATGAATCTTCTCTTTTCTACGCAAAATAAAACTATAAACAGGTATTACTTTGCTTAGTTTGCCAGTAAAAAAGGAAAAAGTTGGCCTGAAATTTTCATCATAATAGTAATTTATGTTGTCAGAGACACTACTGGCTGGAGACTGTCGGCTTAGAGAGCCATTGCTGCAAAATGCCACGTGTTTATTAATAAACAGCACTAATATCATATTAAACGTACGTCATCCTAAGCCTTCTATAAAAAAAAAAAAAAAAAAACGCGTCAGTCTTTCACAATTTTTTGTATCATTAAAAAACTACCTCCCCGTCGGGGAATCGAACCCCGGTCTCCCGCGTGACAGGCGGGGATACTGACCACTATACTAACGAGGAACACGGCAATTTACGATCAGAAAACCGAATGAAGCAAACAGAAGTCGTGTTTTATGTCCGGTACGGAAGCCCTTAGGAGTTACTTCGCCAACGAAAAGTGTTTGCACCTAAAGATAAGACTCACCGATTTTTTTCAACACTATTAAAATAGAAGAACGTGTCTAATGTTCATTATTGATAATTATCTTAGCCCATAAACGTGGCGTTTGAAAGTACGCGTTTTTCCGGTTACGTCAATTTTAATTTATTTAAAAATATCTCCAGTTTTTCAAAGCAAAGAAGTATGTTTTAATCATTCAACTTGTACAATAATTATAGGATACATTTATTATACAATTACACCAGCCACTTAAAAAGTAAACCCAGGAAAATAAACCTGACACTCGCTAGTAATAAGTATGGGTTAGCTGGAAGAAACGTCGCGACAATAAATACAATAATATATCATGTTTACCGTAGCATTTTATTATGCTATTTTATTTTTTATTAATATTGTTGTTATTATAGTCACCTCTTTTTCGTCTCCAGTTTCTCGTTTTCTTCGTTGGCGTTCTTGGTTATTTTATGGTGTTCGACTGTTTTATCCTTAAGTCACTACTGATGTACTAACTTGAATAAAAATAATCAACCTGCTGTTCGTTTGCTGATGCTCATTTGCAGTTGCCTTTCATCGGAAGATTCATTGCGGAGGATTGAATAGTCCGTCACTAAATCAGAACAAATATATATAGATATATGCGTTACATTATTGACCCAACGATAATATACTAGCCAAACAGCCTTTTTTCGCTGGAAATCAGTCTTAACCAGTAATCATAATAAATGTACGATTATTATTCTACGTTTCGTTGATTGAGCCATTGGTATCAGTAATCCATATACTGCCATTTACAGTGATGTTAATACTATAAACTATATTTTTTGTTTGCACAAGTAAGTTAAGCTATATCAGTCACTTAATATTACTCTAATATATGCATTAATTGCAATTGCAACTCACTAGAATCTTAAGTTATACGTTTTGTTATGCAACAGCCTACGTGTCTTGTAGCATTCTCTCACGCGCTGCCCACAAATGCGCAATAGCGCTAAGCGTTATAATTTTTGTCGTGAAGTTTGACATTCCCTTAAAAACTTAAGATCTTTTTCATAGTCCTATATCACACTATCACACTTCAGCGTATATAAACGGAGCACTAATTCAAAATCAATTACAACGATACTAATGAAGTAACGATAAAATACAGGATCTTTCTGCTTACATGCTTATAAGGTTGGCTCACACTATATCGCCTGGTATATATCACTATACCTACAAGTACATATATATATATATATATATATTTCCAGTACATTCTATTAATACTGAAGCATTATTCCTGCTGTCTTGTCATACAAAATTGCACATAGTTTGCGGAACATAAAGAATGCCGGGAAAGCGCATAACGACAGAATCAATACGAATTGGGTGGGCTGTATCTCCAGCTGGAGAATAAGTTTTTCAATACTAATTCTTTCGCTAAAGGAGCGAGCACTGCTTATCTCGAATGGCGAATGTTACCATAATACCTATAAGTTTTCGTCTCAGCTCCATATATATGGCGGTTAGTAATACAAGAACGCTAAAATGGACTTGCAGTCGACAACCTTCCCCTTTTTCGTAAACCTAAGAGTTATCACTTGCTCTCATTTCCAAGCTACCGGTACTTGCTTATTCTCACTGGATACGGGTCTATTTAAACAGGGGCATATTATTACGGGTGGTGTTCTACACCTTACATCGGCGCTGTAGAAATACGTGTACAATTAGTTGTGATAGGATAAGTGTGTATTGACGCAGACTTCTTCTCTTTCCGCTCGTCATTATTTCTCATTTGACTGCGTTTATCTTCAACTCGTCTTTTCCTGGCCATCTGCACACTCGGAAAATGACCTGCTGGTCGAATCAATCACCCCATTGCTTAATTGACTTTTTCAATGACTTTTCGATGCGTTTACTGCAGCAAGTTATTACATTGGACTTCCAGATTATATAGATATGAAGAACCTCGTTTTTTCATGACCAAGGTAGGTATATAAGACATACGTTAAATAATCAAATTCTAATACATAAAAGTGAAGTAAGGCCATAGTTACGCTGAAGTAGCAAATCTTAAGAAACCAATAATCGAAAACAGTTGCTTTAGTAGCTTTATACAAATACGGTTGGCTGTCCCGAATAATTAATTGAAAAATATTGTAAACGTGGAAAAGAAGCACACATGGAAGAGCTAACATGCATTATCTTTCTACAACAAGCGATGTCACGTATGAGCATTAAAACGCACGCTATAACTCTTACACTATGAATGAATACTGAATAATAGTGATTTACCTAAGTGCTTGCAACTGTCAGCGAAAAAAATATATCTTGACTTTCGACATTGTACCGCTGTTTGAACATATCCTTCTTTTTGTTGTTATCGTTATAGCAAAAACTTTCCTCATTTCTGTAGGCCGTTTACTTTTTTTGGAATTTATTTTTTGTGGACTTTATTTCGCTTGCCATAAGCTGTTATTGTTGTTAATGAAAGAAAATGTCATACCAAACGTGGGCAGCATAAAGCGTTGCCATCGTACTCAACCTAGTCAATGTCAATTTAATGACCACCTATAACAATGGGTCCTGGTGAGTATGACCACTTATTTTGTCAGATGTACTTCTACAGTCGACACCGACGCACAGTAAACTATGAATCATTTTTTTCTGCCTCAGTTGCCATGGACGACAATATTTTCTTGTATATAAAATAAATTTTGATCCTTATGCATATATAACCTTTAAAAAACACCTCCTTCATTGCGCATGTTTTAGATAGAGGTGCTAAAAAAAAGATTTTGAATGACTGTCACATCAAATTCTTTACGTCATCTCGTCTTATTTAATTTAGAACTGAATCCAGTTATCCCCGGCGTTCGTTGTAGAACCCGTCATATTAGTCGTCGCTGGAGCAGTTGTAGGTACGGGACGAAGATTACTCGACGCAGCCGTAGGCGGAGATGCTATCGTACCAGCAGATAACGCCGGTGATGCCGTGCTCTTCCCTCCTGGTGCAGGAAGTTTTATACCACTAGGTGGAGGTGGCAACAAGATGCCGGCGGTTCCGGTTCCAGTAGCACGTTCGCCGCGGGGTCGGCTGCTGACACTGCCTGATTTCTTGCTGAAATTGCAGGTGATTTTAATTGTTTGACCTTCTTTAAAGCCAAGATCAAGTGCAGGCGCGGCGGCACCGTTGTCTTGAGATGCGATAGCATCTTCTTCCTTGCTTTTGTGTACCCACTTAAAATGGTCCTGTAGGGCCACATTCAAGTCAAATGAGTCGCTCCTAAAGACAAAATATGACAGATAATTTAGTGCAGGGAGATTACAGCAAACTTATTGCAATAGATGAACCGAGACGCAATTATTAAACTAGCGAATCCACTAACCGTCCTATTTATTTGTTGATATAAATAAAAAAATATATATATAATACTGGTTTAATTCTAGGTTACCTTCAGCCTTCATTGTGTAATCAATTTCTAACACGATGAAAACTTCATTTTCCGTGGAAATATTTCTTGGAACCAGCGAAGATCAGAGTTATGAACGGAGTGGCTTGTTTAAATTCTCAGCTTTATCTAGTTCTGTCACTATAGACATTATTGAGATCAAAATTAAGAAAAGAATATTTAGTACATGCCGATTTGTAAAGTGATTTTACTTCAAGAGAAAGCTCTTTTTGCTCACCGGTCAGCGAAACCTAATCCAATAAATGCTGTTCGTCCATCATCGTCCTTCAGTCGTACAACAAAGTAACGAGATGAATCCGTTACGGTCTCGATCGCCACTCCCGGATATTCTTCAATCGGACATTTGGCAAACAGTTCGCCTGAAAAGACGTCCAAATATATATCCAAGATGCTGAATGATATTCCCAAATTTCTCTTTTAATAGACAATGGCTGGGCACATTATCCAAAGCACTTTCTCTTAATGAGATATTTAGCTCAGAAAAAGAAAATCAAATGTGACCAACCGGTGCTCCTATCTTCAAGCTTAAGACAACAATCGGTTCCCTTGGCAATAAGCTTCAGACGTCCCGTCCAGTCCGGCTGATCCAAACGCCAATCCGATGCCTGTGTCAAACACGAAATAAATAAATGATTATGGTACCCCGATTCAGCTTATCGAGCTACTTTTACGAATGTAAAATAGTGGACTTGTGAGATCGCTACACCGTTAACCTTTTAGCGATTCCAGAGCTAACGAATTTTTTTGTTGCGAACAACTGCTAAAATATAGCCATATCAATGCAACACGCTTATTTGAAATACATGTATCCAAAATTAAATCAACTTGTTCAAAGGAATTCTCATAAAAAACAGTTAAACAACCCCATATAAGAATATGTTTCTAGCCTTGAACGGTATTTCCATCAACTTTCAACTATTCAATGGTACTTAGTGTTAGGTGCCACTGAATAGCCGGTATCTTGTCAAGAAGTAAGGCAATCAACCACTATAAGAGGACAAACAGTTTAGTCAACCTGTCTGAATCGATGGCACCCCTGGTTCCAAAACATGGCCTTACCTTATAGCCTTTATTTGTTGTTAGAGGAGGAATCTTGTAGATAAATACCTCGTTTTTTACCAAAAGCACCGATTCGTAGTCTTCCATTCTGAAATCAAATGGAGCACTCCACTTTAGTTCATTCATTGCTTTTCCTTTTCATAAATTCTACTTGTAATTGACTTATACGATCAACATGCTTATTTTAGAGAACACGTTAATCCAAATCAAGATCTACTCATACTAACAATAAGGTTGGCTTTTTATTTTTGAGCTCGCTTCTTTAAAGCTCGCTTCGCTGTTTAAAGTTGTTAAAGAAAAGCCTTCGAGCCGATTGTACTAGGGTGTTTTTGTATGTGCATACACTCCATGGTTCCATGACCAGACGAACAGTGTAGAGCGAAGTATGCTACTGAACAGTTTCGTATATTACTTCTGTGATTGCTTTTTTTATGGAATTATATTAATTATCGTTGATTATTTTTTTACTAAATGTAATTTCACATCGATGGATTTTCATTAGCTTCTCCTTATTGTTTCTATATAAGAATCTCAGGGGCCAACACTATAAGTTCAATGAATCAAGTTCAGTTGTACTAGTCACAAACGACACTTCTAAGCACACAAGGAATACACGAAAATATACTTGTCTCTCTAAAAGTTACTATTATTAATGTTAGAGTAAGTAAAATTTACTTTCGATTCTAGGCAATCTTTTTAATGAAAGCCGATATATCAAAACAGAATCACTTACCCAATGGTCCCATTACCTTTACTGTCATGCTTTCAAGGTCTTACGTTTTTCATGTATAGCATTATCCTTTGAGGGAAACTTAAAAAGCAGTTTCTTATCAGTATATGCATAACGGGCATCTAGTGCGTCCCAGCCCATTTAGAAACTATATGAAGCCACTAAATGTTTCTGCGTGTAACAATTCCATGCTTGCAGTTGATACTCGCTAAACTTTTATTATGGTTATTATTTTCATCTCTCATCTTAACTTATTAGATATCCTGAAATGTTCACTTATAATAAATGAAGGAAGGAGTATAACTACCGTCATACCATATGTAATATATCTAGAGTAGTTTTTCTTTTTCTACATTAGAATCTACATTGTTACACACCTATGTATTTACTGCTCGCTGCTTAATGGATGATACTCGATTGAATTCTGAGTCTTTACCGCTGTCCCGCATATAACTTTTTTGAGCTTCGATTTCGTACTCTGTCTGTTCGTGTTCTGACGTAGGGTAGACGTGAATGATTGATCAAGAGCAAATTGTTATGTTTGCTATTGCTCAGAAGCGATTCATTAACAACTGACAATTGCACGTCCTGTACCAGCTTCTAACGATATCCACATGTAACCACTATTCTTCTTAGGAATACCACAGGGGGCAACTTATTGACAACTTGGATTACTCGCTTACGCTCACAGTCGAACTCAGCCCAATGCCACCGTACAACGCGACTGCAACCTTGAATCAATCTCAACGATTGCTACATGAGAAGGAACTTGGAATTAGAGTGAAATCTTTAGCTAACGACCATAGCCGTGTCGTTCGTTGTATCGTCGTGTTCAATCGACGTAATGTATCACTCGAGCCAGTTAGCTTCACAAATCCATAGCACGCACCAACAGCTAGACCATGAGCCGATTGTAATGTTGCCGACAGACGGCAGAGATCTGGAAGCAAGTATAAGCAGCCGAAAATCGTTCACTGCTCCCCCTTATTTTTGCCTTGTTACTATTTAGTTAGTCTGCCAGTTAGCCAACGATGAGACAATCCAGCCCGTAACAACCATGTAGTTTCTAACCGTATAACAAAGTCGTCTGGTTACTACTAGCCGACCACCAAGCGTTGCAACGAACCTCTCACGCACTTCCAGAAACATTTAAGGGTTTTCCTGAGTTGTCTGTCTTTCAGTGCGACTCTGATTGAGAAGAAGAACGCGACAGAACAAACGCAATAGGTGGCACACGGAAAAGAAAGCAAGCCGGAAGGTGTAAATTCTATCGGTATTACCCGTAGCTGCTCCCACTCTGGCTCCACAAACGCTTTCGAGGGAACGGTAGAGCCATCAATGGCAGTAGGAGTAGCAGTAGTCGCTGTTGTCGTCGTGTAAAGAGCCGATAGTTGGCTACTGTCCGCAACGAATGACAGAACGGGAATAACGAACATAATAATAACAACAGACAGCGGCAACCGTAGCTGCGACAAGTCGATAACGAAGGAAAGGGCTATAATACTGTCGTCTAGTGCAGACGATAATGCGCTTTTGTTTCTGTTATGGAAATGGCTGCTGGTACAAGGGTTTGACGATGTTTGACTTGGACATACAGAAAAATTAACATAACAGTCGATTAGCATCACACAGTTGTTCATATGTTTTTTCTGCTAATTCTATAAATGGATGAATGCATTTTTTTTAGGAACTGTAGGTAGATATTGGCTATCACTGGCTAACCGGTTCCGTCAGTGCCGTAACAGGAGTATAAAAAATAAGCGAAATTACCAATATCTACACCAGAAACGGGCGTTTCGGATGATTGTAAGTTAAGATGAAAACTTCAGCTCGTCGATACGTGTTGATGGGTAGCCACCGGTAAAAATATCGTGAAAACTAGTATACTTTTAAATAAAGCTTTGAAAATTATTGGGATAACGGTTGTCTGAAGTCACACCAAGAGAGCAGCTAATTAGCGAGGAAAATGCTGTAAGTATGCTTATGTAACTGATGATAAGATGAATATATCTGGCTGATCTTTTAAGCGATACCAAACATTCTCCTATCATTAGATACATAATTAAGACCGCAAGTCACGAATACTATCTACAATGCTTAATTGAATAGATAGTGTTACATGTAAAGGCTGCAGCAGCCTTTCGCTATTGTGCCAGCGCTTAAACTTTGGTTATGAACTTAACTTACGATTGCTTTTGTAAAGGATTAATAGTAATGATGATGATAACAATAATGAACAATAGTCAGTTTGCTTTGCATTATCCAGTTTGAACCTAGTAATCAACGATAATTTCATATAATATATCAAAGAAATCACATTACATGGATGCTCTGCTCCTTACTTTCTATCGTTATTATTAGTTATTCTGGGCCGCCCCAAAGAGCTTTCTGGCTTGTTGGAATGGGCGCATAAATTCGCTTTAGTTTTATAAGTTGCTGATGATAAGGCTTAACCTTACAAAATGATCAGCTACCAAATACTCAAGCAAAAACAATTATTAGGAAATGTTCCACAGTGGGTTATGTCGATACGAAATCAAAAGCTTTGCTTCCTTTTTCTCGTATATAAACACTTTGCATGTGAAACATGAACATACAAATCCTCTTTAAAGTGAGGCTAAATATATTGGTTACAAAGTAATGAGTGTACACGTATACACGATTTGATAGCCTTATTTTATTCGTTGTCTTTATATCTTATTAAATATTTTAACCGATGTTTAATCATCATTGCTCTCCCATACTCTATGTCTAACTTCAAAGCGAGCTCGCTACATTTCGGCCTCTCGGTACAAATAAAAACCAATGTACTGAAAACTTGCTAGATCAGCTTTATTAGAAACCGAACAAGTATCGTAATATTTTATATCTCATCCTTAGGTTCACCACTCGCTGTTTAAAAAACAGCTGATAAAACGATCTGGTATTTTCTTATTAATTATTGTGGTTTATTCTTTGCCAACATTTGCCAATAACCTTGTTTTTTTTCTTATTTTCTACTTCCCCATGTGAACTATTTTTCGTTGTATCTCACTAGGCGTATATAGCTCGTATCGAGTATGATAACGCTCCTGTTTCCATACTTCTTTTATTGAAAGCGCCTTGCAAATAGTTCTACTTAACTACTCTAACTCTCACTGTCGTACGATCCCCATTCTATAAACAAAAAAAACATTAGAATTACGCCGTTTTGGCAGAAAAATACTTCAAAATAACATTTTTGTTTAATTATCAGCGTCACTTTCGCTTAACCGTTGCTGATGCGGCGCGTAGGTGTATGTTATTTTATGTTGGCAGTTACTAAACGTCCACCCATTGCATGCGATGAATTGTTATTATCCATCTTGTTTTTGTTGCTGCTCTTATTATAAAAGCTGTTGACGTTTTCATTCGTATTTCTACTGTCGTGCTAGACACTGATGGTAATGGCAAAATGGACTCGTTTTAACGATCGATTTCTCCAAATACGACATCAAGGGTTCCAATAATGGCTACTATGTCGGCCAGCATGTGATATTTCCCGATGTAGTCGAGCATACTAAGATGCGCGAATCCGGGCGCTTTAATCTTGCATCGATACGGTTTGCTGCTACCGTCGGACACCATATAGAGACCAAACTCGCCCTTCGGAGCTTCAACGGCAGTGTACGTCGCGCCGGGGGGAACCTGGTAGCCTTCGGTGAACAACTTGAAATGGTGGATAAGAGCCTCCATAGATGTTTTCATCTCCTCACGGCTTGGTGGGACGACCTATGACAAGGTGGGACCACAAGGAGAAACAGACATGATATTAACCACTACGAACGTATCAAGAACTCGATTATACCCTAGGGTACATAAACAACTCCTTGTTTGGTAACAGAACTATTTAGCTATTCCTTACACCAAAATCAGTTAGAATTTATTAAAGTTTTTATGCTGCTGTGCAATTATAATACAATTACATGGCATTTATCAGTTAAGTTACACGTTTCTATGTGATACTGCTATTTGTTTTATTTAAATGGAGTAATCTATTTTTACGGAGCAAAATAATTTTTGACGAGCGAGTTACCAAAAGAAGATGTGGTTACTCCTTCCCCTACAGCATATATTGGCTTTGAGCGATTTCATGTACCCTTCGTATCCATCTTTGCTTCGAGAGTACCTGTTTATGTACGTAGCTAAACTAGATTAGACAGTCGCTCGTGGAATACCATATCTTGAGTAACGTAAAATGTCTGCACCTTATTGTCGTCCGTTCGAACTTCGCCTGCAGGCATTTTGTCCAAAGCTTGCTGGATGAGACGGATTGACTGACGCATTTCCTCGCATCGAACAAGATAACGATCGTAACAATCGCCGTTTTTGCCGATCGGAACGTCAAAGTCGAAGTCTTGATAATCGTCGTATGGCTGGTTCTTACGAAGATCCCATTTGATGCCTAGATGAAAACACAAAAAAAATTGGAAGCCGAATACAAAAGAAGATAAAAGCTTTTAATAGAAATAGAAATTTAATAGAAAAACAAACCTGTATACCACCAAATAAAAGCACATGTTATAAAATAAAAGAAAGCAGTTGCAGGGATCTTTAGTTAATTGTGTCATAGATTATTAGACAATTTTCAAGACTGCTAAGTGATCAGAGTCTGCTGTCATTCGCGCTACCTAAAATTGAGCAGATGTTTTCAACAAACGCCATTTGATTCACAGAAAGACGCCCAGTTTAACTAACCTGATCCTCGCAGCATCACACCTGAGCAGCCCCAGTTTAAAGCGTCCTCTGCAGAGAGAACCCCAATATCTATTGTACGTTGCCTCCAAATACGATTCATGGTGAGCAGATCCTCGACCTCGTCCAGTCTCTGAAGGTATTTCGTTGCCCAGTTGTAGATATCATCCATAAGGCCAAGTGGCAGATCTTGATACACACCGCCTGGACGAATGTAGGCCGCATGCATACGAGCTCCTGAAAAACGGTAAGAGCACAAAATTATGTTTACTAGTAAGTGTATTATCGTTATATCCCAATAAAAAAATGAAATGAATTATAATGAAAATGGCATTTTTATGCGTTACATCAGCGGAAAATTGCCCCTAGTAATTCAACGAGAGAGCCAGCCCACTTTTTTTGTATTCTGACAATCATATTCTTAATAGTTAGAACTAAATTTGAGCGATAAACTTTAAGCAAATAAGTGAAATTTCATCGCGCCACAAACCTGACGCTCTCTCATAGAACTCCATGAGTTTTTCACGTTCCTCGAACAGCCAGAAGAACGGCGTAATACCACCAATATCCAGGCAGTGCGTGGTTACACCCATGATGTGGTTAAGGATTCGTGTGATTTCTGCAAATAGAACTCGGATATATTTTCCTCGCTTCGGCACCTCAATGTTGAGCAACTTTTCAACAGCCAGCGAATAACACTGCTCGTTAGCCATCATCGATACATAATCAAGGCGATCCATATACGGAAGAGCCTGCATGTAAGTCTTATGCTCCATCAGCTTTTCCGTCCCTCTGTGAAGGAGACCGATGTGAGGGTCGGCGCGAAGCACAGTTTCACCGTCCAGTTCCAACACCTGTACAAGCAAAAAAAAATAGCACACATTGCGGGTGAAACATGCAGTTGAAAAGAAGAAATTCACAAATATTAGCAGTTGCTGCAAAGTGAAATCTGGTATGAAAGTAACGAAAAAAATACTAGTATTTATATAATAATACACAATAATTACATATACTAATAATATATCTTCGTTTAACTGATATAGAATGCTGTCACCAATGTTCTGCGGTTAGCACAAGGAGAGTTGTGTCGAACTGACATTCTTAAGAAACATTAATTGTGGCAAAATGCCACTATATATATGTAGTAGTAGCATTTTATATTTTTTTAATATATATATATATATATATATATAGCATTTCGTTCGCTTTATAAGGATATATAGGGCGGAATCGTATGGTTTTTTCTTGGAACACTGGCTCGGCGCTTAGAGTAAATGGTTAATCATTTGCATTCATAACGAAGTTTAGGCTAAAGCAGTATTGTCGCTTCATCTGCGAAGCATAGATGTCACCTTTACATGTTGCACCGAAGCAGCGGGTAAGATGTTATAATAAAGGCTTTTTCTATTTATCATGTATACTACACTTCGGCAGAGTGGTCCTTCAGAACAAACAAAATTGTCGACTGCTTCCTCTGAAGGCGCCTCGCAAGCTTGTGGTGACAAGCGGTACTCCTCAATTGAGGTAGCGATTTTTTTAGAATACGAAAAACACGCGGTTAACTTAGGAAACGCAACGAAGGCAATTTTAGCGAAATCTCACTTACTAGCCGTAACACACCGTGAGCCGCGGGATGTTGTGGTCCAAAGTTAAGTTCCATATTTTTGACAATTTTCTCTTTTGGTCTCGTATCGAAGACTCGATATGCTGGGTGGAATTGGATCTGCTTCTCCAGCTCGCGGTGCTCCTGGAGAAACTCGGGACTTGGAAGCAAAAGCTTACCGCCAAACTGACGGGCCCATTTTTCATCTGCAATCCATTGCGCATTCCTATCAAGGAAGAAGTTAAACATTGTACAGTTGAAACTTTTACTGAACAGCATTGAATAGTAAAGACCGGGATGACCAGTCATATCGTGATATCACGCCTAGTACAATCCAATGAGCAAAAGCCTATAACAACCTTGACCTTTATTCGAAATTGTTGATTGCTTGTTGAGTTCAATCAAATCTTACAATATGTATAAAATAACTATCACAATTTGTACCTTTCGGCTTTGAACGTTTATAAGTTAGATTTTTCTTGTCTATGCACTAAAGTTCATGTTGATTTTACTGACTAAAACGCGAATTACGTGTTGTTCCTGGTATTAAGCTGGTGAAACTACTTATGTTACAAAAAAAATTATATGGAGAACACCCACAATGTGAAATAAAGATTTAATAACAGACTAAAATAGATTTGGATAGATGGGATATAGAGCTGCGATATATATTCTCGCTTGGTAGTTTTGGTTTGTAACCAATAGTAGTGCCACCAAAAATGATTATACTGTGGATAAATTGAAACACTGCTAACGATTTTAGAAAAACCTTAAGCCTATAACGCATTGTCCAAACTATAAATTAACTGAATGTTTTATAACGATAAAAAACCAGTCCCCGTACTACTACAAGTAGTTCTATAGTAACAAATAGCACTAGTAGAAAAAACAGTGTTTTAACATCTATTCCGAAACGATCACGTTTTTTTTACCAGAAATCCAACTTAGTCGTATGTAGACGGCCTTTTCTCTTATAATCTGTAACATCTGATGAATCTCATTGAAATTCGGAGAAACCAATCTCATCATTATAGCGCTCTATAGTGCGTATCACACTGTTAATAATCGACGGAGACCGCAGTTGTCTAGGCGGCGGCGGCGGCAGCGGCGGCAGCAGCAGCAGCAGCAGCAGGGTGACCTCATGAACAATATTACGACTGCCTTCATTTGTAAAGAAGCTTATCAAATACCATACTAGTCTGCAAATACCGCCTAATCATTGACGGAACCTTGGAACAACAGTATAAATTAAATGCCCTGTAGGTCACGCATAGAACTGATTTCGGTTCTCGAGAGAACAACACCACACAGATGGAGGCTGCTTCGTGTCGGCAACCAACGTCTGCGCACCCTTCTAAGATCCTGATTTTCGTCCTGAATCAATGATTTGCTGACGGACCTTGTCGTGAAGATGGCCGGATTGTTGGCGGCGATTGCCCTTTGCATGGCGGTCGCCGCCGACCTAAGAATGCTAGCCATTGTCGACACTGTTTCGGCGTTTCGACGCACAGCAAAACCAAGGGATTTTCCCCTGGACCACTAACTACACACAGACACCCGTAGCGCTGGAACAGAAACAACACTTAACACCCGTTTGTGTTACCGGTATTAAGATCTGAGTCAAATCAATACATTGCCTGTCGGTAGTTTCTATTCGAGGCGCTAAGGGGAGAGACGCGTTGCTGGCGAAGGCGCGCAGAACCGAAGGTGATGCAACGCCTTGCAGATTTATGGGAAGAAATTAGGCAGTTCATAAAGCAAACAAAAGCGCTCATCCGAGGAGTGGCTAGGGGTTTTCTCTTAGGAATTGGTCAAAAGTAAGACTTATCCTGTTTGGGTGATCAAGTGCCATTTCACTGGAAAAAGCATGTAGCGATTTCTGTTAGCATGGAAAATTGCTAATGCGTATTAAAACGTGTTGAACATTTAGACGTTAAGGGATCTTTATTATGATTAGAGCATCTCTCTAGTTCTAGTGGCATCTATTCCAGAGTACTTTATCATGAAATTGAGAACACTTGAATACGTCATTCTTTTATAACAACGTAACTGGAACACGGGGACTCACTCTCGCTAATTCAAGATGTTTCGAATCAGTTTCAGCTTTTATATGTACACGTATCAAGGGACTTTAGCTCATTAACCAGATCTATCGTTTAAAGGGCATGAACTTTTTCTAAGGTACGCTTGTTTCTACTTTGATCTGCAAAGTAATAAGTAGCGAAACTGTTTTCAAGATGCTTCCGCAATCGTAGGTCAGCACTACAATGTAAAGTTCAAGTAAAAAGGACGTAAGACACGAAAGTAACTACAAAAGTTTTCTCTTATATTTTCTTGTCGACGCTCCATCTGAGGTACCTCTGGAGTATCTTTGAAAATTATTACGCAAATCACTTGTGCAAAATTCAATGACTCAAGAAATGTACATGCGTTTGTGAGGGCCCTGAACAGAACTAAGAGGCGCACGCGAATGAAAAAATTGCTAATCCCAATCAATTTTTTTCTTATGGTTGCCCGCAGTCTACCGAAAAATACTGTAAAATCCACCCCAAACACCCGCAGAGGGCCTGGAACAGAAGGCGAAGCTCTATATATCTGCGTTTTACCCCCGGCAACGCCGTTGAGCATTCGGTCATACGACTGACTTCCAGCATGAAACAGTGTGTCTTTGCCCAGATTCGAACCTAGAAAACATGGAAACGCGCAACATATACAGCAGGCATATACATTACTCGCTACGCTATAATACGGACAAGAAGGCGGAGCTCTAGCGAAATCAAACCACACTTGCATGTTAATATAGAACGATTTTTAATTGAATTTTGAGAGTGTTGATTTAGTCAACCTAATCTGTTTCACTACGATTTTTCTAAATTTCCAAAGCTAATATAGAGCCTGAAGCCAAACGATACAGAAAATAATTGTGCTGCGATGTTTAGGCGACACCAAGATACAAGTTTTGCGTTTAAGTGCTTGATTGAAATAATTGGTTTTTATATAGGATATGTTGCACATCCGGTACTTAAGCCGTTAGGCATATATTTCATTGAAGGAGCAAAACAACCCGTTTAAGTGCATGCAACTAGCGTGAACTTTGAAACCAACTTTCTTTCAGAGTAAAAATGAGCGAAAACTGTTGTGACGAGATACGAGCAGTCGTTGACTAATAACGTTTTCGCATGCATTGTTTTCATTTAAAAATTCATCCATACGAACTCTTGGGTCCAGGTGGTAAAAGACAATCGCAGCTTTGTTGATCCGATCATCCTAGGATAAATAATGTCATGGTGACAAGCAATGTCAAGGTCCATTAAGATATACGTACGCCGAAAACGAAAAACTACACAGGCGAAAAAAATATACCGTATGTATGATAGATACTGATCGTTTTATTTACCGCTGCCATTGTTGTTGTTGTTGCCCAGAGAACTGGATTAGTACACGGGCTGTGGAAAAAGTATTAACCGTTCTTTAGATAGATGCCTTTTAAGTGACGCATCTCAGGTTAGGTGAGTTGGGTCGGGCTGGCATTTGCAAGTTGAGAATTGGCAGTAGTAAATGTGTCCAGTTGTTGGAATGTTCGTATTCAGGGTCAAGATAGAGCGCCTTAAAGGTTGACTATATTTTATAATTTTATCAAATTAATAGCGGCACAAATGCGAAAATGTACGCTGTTGATGGTCAGAACGCGCTATTGGCGTCTCTGAAGAACACGACGACTCTGTTTCGTTCTGCGAAACGCTTCGGTGTGAAACACCTTCCTCATAATGTCCGGGACAGAACGATCGCAAAACCGCAATTGAGTAAGACCGACACGTGGTCGCCATGGTATTGCCAAAGAACTAAACAACCATCAAACTGTTTTAAACTATTTGAAGGAAAAAGGAATCGCCACACTTGGGCTTGAGCTGTTTGGGGTCCAAACAAGTAGACGCCGAAGGATTTACTTGATCGCCTTCCTATCTACGAAACCCTAGAGCAATTCGACGAAATCAAGCCAGGCCAAAAGCGGTGTATCACGAGCGATGACAAGTGGGTTACGTACGAATAGTAATGTACAAATTAAAATATATGCCTCATAATTTATGGCGAGACCCAGATCGACGTCAAAGAAGGCGATGCTATGTGTTTGGCGAGATTGGAATGTAATTGTGCGTATGAGTTACTGCCGCCTCATTGAAAACAATCGATTAGGACTTATGCCCTCGACAACTAATAGTATTACAACAACCATTAAAAAAAAAGTTGACCGGCAATAGTAAACAGAAACGACGTCGTCTTCTACCGTGGCATACAAACCCACATACATCTTTTGGCTTTCCGACAGAGATTTGAAAGAAGTTGGATGGGAAACTTGAGTGCATTTACCGTATAACGCGAATCCTTTAATGGTGCTAATTCAGTTCAAATAGAGAGCTGCAAAAGCTACTTGTCACAGTGACTTTGTCCAGAGACTACAGAAGAACTAGAGTGATGGGTTACGAGAACAATGGCAAGAGACTATCTATCGAAATACGTAAATATTTAATTTTGCTAATTATTATTTGAAAAGACATAAAATATGTGCTTAAATTATTCTTCTGTCGATTTGAAGATGGCCAAAACTTGTTGACAATCCAATATTAATCATACATATAACGATCCAGTTCAATTCTCTAGAGATATATTATCGTCTGCAATTGACACATTGCCTTGTTTCCGTATCTTGACTCATAGCCGCCATGTTGTAAACTAATTTCACTTCAAGTTCAATACCATGCTTTGTCAATCAGTAGCCTATTTATATGTGTACGTTGATGAAGCACGACTTCTATATTCGATATATATGGACCTTGAGTATTAACTGTAACAGATGGATGTGATGCAGTGGTTTTTTGTGTCTGTGTTTTTGCAAATTGATCCTGTCATAGCTATGAATACACTACACAGCTGGTCCCCCAAATACATCATTCTTTTTCTACCCGTTTACTTCTTACAGAACCGTGATCATATTGCTTATGGTTCTACAAATACACTGAATGCAACAGCAAAAAAATATACAACTATTGTATGTTCTACCTCTTGTAACTTTCGTGGCATTTCATTATATATTTTGTTTTAAAAGCTTTGTAACGCATAATCATAGCAAGTATCAATGGAGTTTTAATCTACCAGCACAGTGTGTGTGCATAATAATAGCATAATAAATAACAGCATCACACAACATGTAGCTAAAATAACTCCTTGACGATTTATTGAATCTAAATATGTATAATTATATTTACAGGCGTGTGTATGTGTTTGTGTGTGTGTGGGAATACGCGTATCGGCATGTAAATGTGTGCACGCGAGCGAGCGAGCACCGCAGCGGCGCCAAACATAACAGCTGAAACCAGTGACTTTAGTGCAGAACTAATGATACCAAAACAGTACAACCGAACAATTTCTATTTGAAAGCAGATAAAACCAGACTTCGTCCAAAAATACGTTCAAAACCAGCTCAGTATGCTTCTATTAAAAGCAGGCAGCATCTCTTGATTCAAAGCGGTCGGACACATACATCCGGTCAGGGTTATACTTGAAATTCAATTTACACTAAACAAATATTAATATATTTGCTTAGTGTAAGTAACAGATAGGAATTTTGTGGCAGCCCCCAAAGAAAGGGTTTTGCGCTGTTTTTTCGATATGATCGCGTGGGTGCATCGGTGCGTGTGTTTGTGGTACTTTATTATTATCGTTATTTGCCTAAACTAGCTAATATTGCCAACAATATCCTCTGCCATTAAGCCCCTACCGCACTTTTGCTTACAAAGACGATCTTACCTAGCAGTTATGCCTTAGGTGAACAGAATAAAACAGGAAAAAAACGAATAATCAGTTGTTTTTACTAACTGTATTTCATTCGCTTGGTATCTTTTTTAACATTTGTCAAGTTAACAATTTTCGCAAAATTAGGTTGGGGCGACCCAGATATTGCATCGTACGCTTCAGAATAACGATAGTGAAAGGTATCGTATAAGGTAACGCTTATAAAAGTGCGGCAGATAATTATGAGGAGAGTATAAAATATAGTTTTGATTCTTTAGATACCCGTTGCAGTTGATCATAGAATTATAAGCGAAAGTATAATTTTTGCTCTATCCAACGCTTTACAAATATCTTACCTATTCGTTATAAATATATCCATGTATGAGCTCATATAATACATATGTCAATGGAACTTGTCCTTTTATTATTATATGTAGTGAAATCCTCAATGGAGTATGATTTTCATTATAATATCCCTATAGTAATTGTCAATATAAACTAATAATATAATTAAACTAATTTAAGGTATTTCCCTTAGAGTAATGCTCCAAGCTCTTTTTGGTTCATCTCCGACGCCTTAGCTTCATTTGGAGCCATTGCTCGGCTCGAGTTCGTTCTGATATCGGTTTGAAAGGTAGTCCGCCGAATCGGCCATTTGCTGCAAGATCGCGTGAAGGGCGTGCAGGTGTACACGGAACGCGCTCGAAAGAGCCGCGGTGGTTGTTACCGATTCAGTGGTGTTATCGGACCCTCCTTCGGGAGCAGGGGCATCCGCGAAATCGGACAAAGAAGAGCAGTCATTATCTGTCTCCGGATCGGAGGACGTAGCTGAGCCGAGCGATCCGTCGCTTGCCTGACGCTTATGTGACGGCTGATGGGAAAGAACGAGAACAAAGCACGTAAAATAGTTTTATTCGCTATATATTGTAACCTGTAGTATAATCTTCACCACGATATATCCTATGTTATTATTTCTAGCTTAGTTAAGAGATATAGATATATACATATGTAAACGGTATCAGTAAAATATGTGTACTCGTTGCAAATCCTTCACAATTTACCGATAACGAGCACAAAGCAAAAATCGAATTTCTCGCGCGCTTCATGGCTATACCAAAGAAACAAAGCCACATCATCGCGTCGGTTGCTGGACGCAGCGCGATTTTTCAATTATGTCCACCTGGTAAACTCTCGATTCGGGTTAAAATTCCGATCTAGACGAAGTTTAGCCAATGTCTTGAATAGTACTCGGTTCTTACGATAATTAATACCGAAGATTATTGGCATGATTGTACGACGGCCCCAGTTGAACACAGAGATCTTCTGCATGATAACGATGACATTTTCAGGTAAAAGGTTCATTTGAATCGGCTCAACGAGCTCCGCCATACGAACCTAGTGCGCAGTGATAGAACGGACAATGTAGACGGGTGCCGATGGAGTGACCTTCAAGTGAGCGCACGACACTAAGGCACGAATATGGAAGATTGAGAGTTTTAGGTTCGTGTTTTAAACGGAACAAGTCGGACATGATAAGATAATGACTCGTAGCTTTCAGTCCGGATAGGTCAGACGATGTACAGGTAAATTACTTGGACTTTAAACTCCATAAAAACAACGGTACAATTGAAGTTCCGAATGGCTTCATTTTTCTGTGCTTGAAAAATGTGATTCAAAGCCTATAAGATTGATGAACTTGGTTCTTCACGTTATATTTTATGGTGTTTCATATCTGATTTGATTCGAAATTAAGTATACTATAGATTTTATCTAGTTTAATTTTCCTTTATGAATGAATGGACTGTTTTCGTTCATTGACTTATTATTATTAAGATATTTTTGTCTCATATCAGTTCGGTCTTAGGTCTTTCAAGCTATGCAGGGTAGCGATGAAAAAGAACACCAGGGGTCTTCTGCCCAAGAAAATTTGGACGACAGAGAAGTATTGAAAAAAGATGCGAAGTACACGTCGGCCAATCATCAAAATGACACTGTAGAGCCATCTGGCGCATTTAAAGGCGATAATTTTAAAAGGACAACAACGAAACCGTCTATATTTTTCAAGATCCTTACTGATGAAGACATTGACGAACGCGAACGAGAGCGTAAGGAAAAGCGCGAGCGAATTCTGCGAGAAATCGTCAGCCTTGAGGCTGCTCGAGTGGCTGAGGAATGGCGCCGACTCCGTAAGAAAAAGGTCGAGCTAAAGGAGCGACGAATGCGGGAAGTGATTTTCAGAGAGCTAAGTGAAATGTGGAATAGTGGCCAAGATATTCAACATCCCGAACAAGTGGACCCGCATATCCGAGGCGATAGCGGACAGCTGTCGGAAGAGAGCGCCCTGCGCAAACGACTGTTTTATGGTTGCTTTCGCGAGTTTGTTAATAACAATAATAGCCTTTTTAACAATAACAACCTTCTTAGAAACCATGTTTACGAGCAGAAATTTGGGTTCCGCAACTATCACAAACAGCGGTACCAGTCAGCAGAACAGACGCATAGTAACGTCCAAATGTCACGCGTTCATCATGGACATATGCATGGCTTAGAACGCCGCAGCAGCTGTAGCAACATCTTTAACAGTATGACCTGGACCGCCGAAGAGCTAAGAATCTATTATGAGTGTATGATCAAGCACAACGTATGGCCTCTACATTATACCGTGCAACACCAAATGCTTACATCAAGTCATCAAATTCACAGTCAATCGATTGAGGAACCGGGTACATCCAGACGTGGCTTTACAACAATACCTTTCCACAGGACGTTGAACAACGTCTCAGGAGAAGTCGATGAACTGCCAGAGCATTATGACAGAGCTCAAGCATGGTCGTCAACGTTTCCGATTGAAAGGTCGGTGACGAACACTGTAAGGCCGGTTCGTATGAAGAAGTACTTCAATCCGAATTCACGGCGTGGATTTTCGTCGTCATCGTCGTCGTCAACGTCGATGACGGAGTGTACCAGGTTACCGCCGTTAGGTCATAGTCATGTTACGCTTAGCGTTCCATCAAGTAACAACAAGATGCTAATTAACAAGAACGTAGCTAAGGCAGGTTTCCAGGAGAAAACCGAGTCAAGAAAGTCTGAGGAGAAGTTTTTTGTTGATGAACTGCTAAAAGAAAATGTTGATCACGAGCCTGTGTGTCCTGTCATTGGTGAAAATGATGACGTTGATCTATATGACGATTTGTAATAGGTTGCCGTCTATGAGGATCGGCTATCTTAGAACTCAGTAGCAGTAAAAAATTTATGACTAGAGCGCGGGAAAAAATTTAAACGGGGAGTTTTAATTTGTGTTAGCTGTGCCAGATGCCGTTTTGTCGCTGCGGCTTATAGTGAATAGCTAGTATTTACAGAAATTCATATTAGGAGACAATTTATAGATAGATATTATTTCGTGTAGGTATCGCAGCATTCACTCGTTCCTTATTCTTTTATTCGTTTCTATTGAAGTTCTATCGCAGTAATATGGTCTTGTACGAACTAACTATAGGCAAGGGGGGCATCGCCGTAAGTACGAAAAACCAGTTTATACGAAAGCGAACACAGGATCCGTAAGCTTTAAAATATACGCCATGACGAGACATCTAGCCACTGTAACATTAAATATGGTTACAAAAAATAAAACCGTCCAACTCTGCGACAAAACAGCCCATTTAATTCGATGTTCGTTGAATTCGTTTTTGCAAGAAGGCCTACAAACTACAACGATTCTTAATGAATAACGATCGTAGTACGTAACAATAATTTCGCTTTAATGAAGGGGCGATCTCGCAGTTCGGAAAACGTTTCTTACAACTGTGACGACCATATATAATATCAGGCGTTGTCGGTACGGCAATTACGTTATTGTAGCGTCATCGTCACACCTTCTCGACTCTGACTGATAAATTTCTGACTCAATTTTTCTATAGTAATAGGACAGTCATTAGTGAAGGTTGAAAGCGGCAACAATTCTATCAATTAAAATATATTTTAAAAGAATCGGCACGCCAAGACATTGTCACTTGATCTATTCCAGACGGGACTTGGCACTAATACCGCAATTATACTAAATGGTAACTGCTACAAGCATAAGAAAGGAACAAAGAGGTTTTTCAATATTCGCATGTAGTAGTCTTGTAGCGTAGGCCGATAGAGGACTCGCGCGAAAAATTTTAAAAAAAAAGTGGGAATTCGTTGAAGTTCTCATGCGCCAACAATAGATTACCAGAGAAGATTATACTGGAAATAGAGAATTAGTCTGTTACCAGGTTTTTGCTAAATGCAATTAAAGTTAAGAACTACATTTAAACGTATATCGTATTCCATGCAATCGTGTATTCCATGCAATTACTGCTCGTAGTAAGCTGGAAGCGATTCGGTAATTCAAACATCCTTTTCTGTAAGTAAAGTTCTATTCAACAAAAAGCTTTTGATTTAAGAAACTTTTGCGGTCAATCAAGATGCATGTACTTACTAGATTGTACCCGTGCCATCCTGAATACAGGCAGCCGATTAGCTACCAATTTTTTGCATTACTTTTTCGGGTTGTTATTTTTCAATTTTGTCATATTTGCGCCGCCAGTTAATAGAACGTAGATCAACCTGCTCAAGTTAACTGACCCAGATCGACCCACCTGACTCGTTACCGATGGTACGCGCAGGGCAGCGTTTGGGGATGACGACCCTAGATTAGACAGGTGACCCATGAAGCCTCCGTTGGAGAGGTGAGGTACTGCTGGATTACCGGTGCCCCACAGCAGTTCGTTCTTGGCTTCGTGCAGCATCGCAAAGCACGAGTGTAGGTCAGCCTGAAGACGTGGAGGATTACTAACTCCGGCACCGATAACTCCAGCTGTATTATCTGCTTCAGTTATCTCCATATCCCGCAACCGGCTAGGAACGAGGACTGTTGCGTCCATATTGTTCACGGCCTGTATGCACCCAAACCCGCAGATGGGCACCGACACAATTATAATACTGGGTTAGCATCATGTGGCAGTAAACTGGGATAGGGAACAAAGAAGCTCAATAGGGTGTGCCTGTCCTAGACGCTGGTTATGCACATTTTTTGTGCTAGATTGTCACGGTCAAAGTGTGTGGTAATGCTTGATAGTTGAAGGTTACAAAGAAGCTAGCTCCCAGATGAAGGAATCGATGGCCATAATCTAAAAATGTATAGCCGATTAAGTTATTATTGGTTGCTTTAGCGATTTTAGAAAAACGATTATGTTTACCTTAACAAAACGGTCCATCGCGTTGAGGACGGATTGCTGAGAGCAGATGATATCAGCGGAAACGTCGTTACTCCGACTTGCTCGGCGAGATGGCCCCTGTGAACGCTGCAACAATGATACCGAGCGAAATATGTTGTGAACCCGGCGTAAGCAGCTGCGTTTACCCATCGTAACGATCCGTTGTTTAATAACATATTTTACTGAACAATCTAAAAACGTCAGACTCGACATAGCGGTGCTGTGGAGGACGTATTGGGTTGGCTTATAGTAATTACATCCTTCCAATTACCGCTTCTACTGCTCGACGAACGAATCACTCACTCTTTGTGAAGCCTTTTTTTTTTTAAACTTACAGTACTTATTTCTATTTAACGTGACGAAATTCATAAATAACCTTTACGAGAGTTTTATATAGTATCTCAACATAGTGATGAAACCTTGTACCAACGCCAGATCGTCCGGCTTCTACGTAGTACCCGTTTCGTTCTTTTTACCTACCTGTGTTCTATCTACCTACCGAGAGTGTTCAGTGGCAAGAAACCTAATCGACTGACTTGCACCTAAATAATATGTTCGGTCCTTAGAAAGACGCTTTACCCGTACATTTTTCGAATGCAGTATGTCATGTTTATTTTACAATAATTAACGAAACAATTAATTATTAACACGAGATCGTTGACTTTTCCTTTACATACATGATTTTGCTGTTGCTGATGGCTATAGATGGCTGTCCAGAGTGAGTCGATATTTGAAACTCCCGTGATGGCCCTCTTAATACCGTCAGGTCCTATTAACTGCTGCTGTTGCTGCATACCGGCGTACGAGCAACGCCTTACAGCCATGAGGTTTTCTTAGGTCGTTAATGTTCGATGGCAACAATTGGAGAGAAAAACTAGGACGTTCCACCAGAGTCACCTACCAGTTAATCAACAACAATGAAAACACCAAATAATAGTGAAATAGTTGCATAAGGGCACGGCTAGCAGTTATGTATATATATTTATATATATATATATATATATATGTGTGTATGCAACAAATATTTCTAACTACTTTTTAATCTCGTTAGCTGTAACTTCTTTCAAGAGTACGACCCATTGGGGCTGGTTGTACATCTTGAAAGCAAGTTTTTAGTACCTTCTATGACGTTTAATAGTCATTTATAGTAACATCACTACTAGAAATTGGTGTTTTTTGTTTCAAGTTCCGTACCGCCATTAAGCATTGCGTCAGAGCATTGCGTAACAACACTCTTGCTACTAGATAACTATAAATATTTTATGACTTTTTACAAAATGTAACAATGGTGACACTCACAAGGTTTTTCCAGGCTAACCTGAACAATTCAGAACAGGTTTACCAAAATAAACTCAAAGTCTTTTTAAAAAAATACTGAATTTTCGAGCATATTTAGATATTACTTTGAACAATTTAATAATCTCTGCTTTTGGGAAGACTTTTTTTTTCTTTATCTGATCCTGCCGGCTGGTTTGGGACATTTATGCGTGAAGGCCGTTTTTGCCGTACCGTTAATCAGGGCTTAATTATTCTATAGGTTGGAAAAGTGTACACGCCATATAATAAATAAATGTACCTCTTGTAGATAGTTCAGGAACTATTAGCTAGTTTTTGGACGCACTACAATGAACAAGCGAACATGCTTGTATGCAATATAAGAATATAATAGACAAAACTTGCTTTTTCGCCACGTACCTGTTCCTATCACAGTTCAGATCTGGTTTGTTTCAAGAAAGAAATAAGAATGCAGTATCGAACAAACAGGAGCAGACGTCGAAATGTAACAGTTTCTTTTTTGAGCACAGATAACATATACGATGAGGAAACGCTCGCGGCTAGAACGTCAGCTGCTACAGCACAATAGATTGTCACTTGCTGAGGTGCACGTCCCTACTGAATAACGCAACTGAAATCGCTTTTGATCAGACTCGTACGACTACTGCCGTTGCGAAGTCGACAAGAACTGTCAGTCTTGTGATGGGCGACGGCCTCCCGTCGGAGTTCAAATCAGCGCCGGCCATCCGCGAACTAGTAACTATGTTGATGATGACGCCGGGCGCAATGCTTCGAGAGAGCAAGATGGGCTCTTATCGGTTACGGATGAAATCAACGGACGTGTTATATGTAGTTATCCCGTTTCTAGCTTTTTCGTGCGAGGGTAAAGCTGTCATTGCTATGGCTGTGGTTGACGTTACAGGCTGCTGTAACGCCGCTACAGGCCCCGTTGTAGCAGGTAGAGTAGGCGCAGTTGAGAAGGCAACTTTTCTCTTTCATCACCTGCTAGTCGCCCTTAGAGAGCGTGGACAACGTTTTTACACAGCATCGCTACGCGCAAAGGACAAATTCTAGAACGAAGAGCGTCATAGACCAGGCGAAAAGTCAAGAGAATGCACGTTGGTTACCAAAGCATAGACAGAAACGCTTACCAGATCAATTAGCCAGTTAATGTACACGGAATACTATAACAGTCCTTCGATACTCTTGATATTACTACTGTTTGGGCTGCCACATTATGAATCAATAGTGTGCCATAAAAAAGAGCGCCAATCTGTCTGCTCCTGTATGTAAATCATCTACGTAGTCCATATCTGATCTAACTCCACTGCGATCTGCTAGCCCCGTATCGTATAAATCTATTCAGTTCTTACGGGAGGCAAAGTGGCATGGTGACCTTAGAAAAAAGAGACTTGTCCAGGTGGCACGGTGAACGGTGATGGAAAACGGTAGGCAGAAAAAACGCAAGCACCTTTTGAATAGACGACAAACGAGCTAGAAAAAAAAACTAAGTAGTACAGATGGTGGCGCGGTTATGGCGTGCGCTGCCGAGGCGTTGAGTTGCATCCGTGCCATAGCGCAATGTGCTATAGACTAGTGCAAGCGCCTGCTTAATTCGTACGGGGTTAGACTGAATCGACAGAATAGACAGATAAGAAGATAGGAAAACTAACAAAGTTATAGGATAAGATAACTGGCTGATAGGTAATGACACCGTACTGTATAGATACGACGTCTGCGAAAATAGTTCGACTCCTATAACCAATGCAGCGCTTAAAACATGCTGATCCAAAGGCAAATATCGTGGCAATAAGGAAAAAAGCGGTATCAGTGTTCGTTGCTACAGTAAATAATATGGATGGATATTTTTTCTTAATGAAGATATTCATGAAAAAGCTTAAGCCGTAATATTTACAAGCTATAATCATAATAAGCAGCTCAAAGTATATTTGCCATTTAGCTCCAAATTATTCAAAACCGCGTTTTCTAGAATAGCTTCGAAAAGAACAATCCTTAGAGCGTGATCTGTCGAACGTGAACCTAAATCAATCAATACCTATACAATGAAAACTCATTCTTCCCATGCAGGTACACCCAGAATAGGCTATCGATTGATGAAATACGATTTCAGGTTTTTTTTTTTTTTTTGTGAATTCTGTGCTCAAATGTGCATCAATTTCTTATGCGTGACCGAACGTATGCAATTCACGACTTCTGTTGTAGTAAAATTGAGAATCGAAGGCTCCCTCTAGGCCGAGCAGAAGAACGACCAAAAATCTAGGTTTATGACACCTCTTATCACTTCCCTAGACATGCAAAAATCCTTATGAAGTAACGCCATCTTCTGGTCTTTTTCAAAACTGTGCGTATTTTACATGTGAATAGTACAAACTAGATGAACATATTTCCTCCGCTCCCCAGCGCAGAATGGCGAATGATGGATTTTTGTCGCTGATAGTTCAATACCCGTTTTTAAAATAGGACCAATTAAAATATAGCGTTGCGATAACTGATGTCTATATTAATAATGATAATATGATTATGACAATCAAGGAGGTTGTCGTTTCGTCCGTGGGACTCCCTATCATCTATTGTCAAATCTTCCTAGCCTACACTTGAACTCCTCAATCTTTTCGTTTGTTTACCACAATAAACAGGGAGTCGACTTGAAACTCATACGGTTTGGCATCGGAGCGGGTAGTTATAAGGACGTTTGTCACCACTAGCAGAGCAGTACGCGCCCTCCGACAGACGCGGAAAAAGTGGCAGGAAATTTTTGTCGGAAATCTATTTCCGCCCGTTGTAATTTTCTTATCGGAGACTTGACAAGCATGGATCCATATATCGACCTGATTTCGACGCGTTGGGCACATTGATGATCTCAATAAGAGTTCGAGTTTGATGAGAATGAATATCTACGTTTTCATAGGTTTATTTTTTTTATAGTTAGTTACACACGTAGATTGTACTTTCTATAGGTCCAAACAGTTATTTTAGTCTGATATTTATATAGCAGTAAATTTCAAACGCTTAAAAATTGGCGCGAACAATCAGTTACAGTTTCGAAAAGTGCCGCGCTTGTTACGGCTGCATGTCGCTGACAGAATAATAAGTCATTTACTAGGGGCAAAAAATTGTTGATTTTACGTTAGACATGATCGACATATAGTAGAAACATCAATAAATCTACAATACCTTTCTTACATATTTTTTTGTTTGGCAATAGGGGGTAAACTCGAAACTTCTGCAGCTGGTCGGCTAGCTACTGTTGATGCCAGCTGTGAAATGAGTTTCCTAAACAGCAACTGGGCTCATCAGAGAGAATAATTGGCTACTCGACAAAAACAAAACGACAGAACCAGCTGGGTAGAAAGTCGAGTCTACTATTTCACAGTTATCTAGTAGGCTAGTTTGATTGTCTACGCTTTGCTGCCTGAGACGCTGCCCAGTTCAATATAGTTATACGATAGTTGTATACGAACACCAAGGGTGCTCCATCCAATGCGGGACAACAAAGATTACTAACAGACACGCGAACGCTATTCTGAACAACTTGTACGCTAAGTTCAATTTAAAGTATCCTACTCTTAACAAAAAAACACGAACGTACTCATTTTACTTTAGAAATTGGAAAAATTTAGTAATGAATACTGAAAAACAATATAGCAAAATAAGACGATGCAAAATTAGTCTAGTAATGGCTACCTAGAAGAAAAGAATCTTCATTCTCTGTTAGTACGAATACTGTTTTAACTCTAACCTCGACCGTCTACTAACTGTATATTTGAGTTTTTTTTCCACTGGAAGCTTTCTATAGCTCCGCTCTGTGGCACTGAATAAATCTAAAAGCATACTGACTCATTGGGTGACCGACTGGTCTGTACAACACATTGAGCAGCAGCCAGTATGTCGGACTTGAGAATTCTTGTCGAAATAGAGTATTATTGGAAGTTAACAGGTGGTCATGAATATGCTTTTTGGCTATAGCTGTGAAACAATTTCAGATATTATATTTGGACTGGGCAAATTTTTACCGAGATAATTATATCGTAAGTTCACTGATTATCAATGCTGTATTTACCGTTCTATAAGAACTGGAACACATGCAAATCAATGAATGATATGTAAATAAATTTCGAATTGCTCGAACCCAACTATAAGTGAACTTAATTTGAAAAAATCTAGTGATGAAGGCGTAAGTTAGTTGCTGCTAGAGAACGCTCAGTGAGATCCACCAGTGTGCCGTCTGAGCGGAGCTTGGGATCGACATGTAGATCACTTTTGGCACGATGCATCCATGCCCTGTTCTAGCTAATACTAATTGTGTTCTATTTTGTCGAACCGTGACACGATTTGGAACCTCATTATAAAACATGCATCCAACAACAAAGCTTAACAAAAAGCTACGATATATAATTTGGACACAACGGATAGATGCAGTTCATGGTCCTCATTTCATAATTTCAGCAAAACCTGATCTTTGACTTAAACGTGTTACTCAAACGATCAAACAGTGTGCATCGATTTCGATCTGCGTAAAACTTTTTAACCATCAGCAGGATGCATGAATTTGCGTAAGATTTCTATGGGAGCATCCGGCGAAGATCAGTTAATCGGCAGATCGAATTCTGTGTTTCACAGCTAGAGGCATTTATATTTCAACACTGAAATCCGAATGTAGACATTGGGAGGAAATCTTTGTAATATATTCTGTATATTTAGGTTTTTTGGATCGTAGCGGAATTCCACTCAAGTCTGTTTTCGAACCCTCTATCGATTGGAATGGCAAGGCCTCGGTGCGCGTGAGCTTCATCGAGAACTTCTCGGATATAACGGAAGCAAGAATCGAACGAGCCGAAATCATCTGCGAACGCTCCATGGTTAATTATTTTAACAGATGTAGACTTGATTGTGCACCAGCACAACAAACCCATTCTAGCAATTGAAGAAATCCTAAGGGAAACCGCAACTGCAACTTAATCCCAGACAGATGATCGTATTTCTAAATAGTGATCAGAAATAACCGTAACTATTTTAAGCTTGATCACCTTTTATTGGTTAGGCTGGTTAACGCAGCCTTAGGTTCCCTAAACACCTTCTTCTAGCATGTGAAATGGCAAGCTGATCAACATATCAACTCAAGTATAGGTTCGTATCTGAATGATTCGAAGGACTTATTCTACACGGTTCTCACTCGCACAACCGCTTCTAAAACCGTGTTTTCAACCGTATCGTGTTGACACGCGCAAGCATCGGCATAAACATATGTATATTCTAGCGAATATTCGAGCGGCAGCTTCTAATCTGTATCGTACGAAGCAGATAGGCGACAGAACAAGGCCATCATTCTCCCTTTTGTAGTTCTATAAATAAATCAAGCGACACAGCGACTGATCTATTTTCAGAAACAACAGGATCATGCCTGGGCATCTTATCTATTCCGCAACGAGGTAGATACACCCATTACCTAGAATGATAGAATGAAACTTTTGAGAGGAGGGCAGAGCGATACACTTCTAGCATGACTTTGTTGTTGACCGTTGTTCGGAAATGTTGCACTCGTTTTAGCAAACTCAGGCTATTGTCTCAATAGGCTTCGAGAGGAGCGTCATTCGACGGACCAGCTGACGATGGAAGACGGCCACGGCGCCGGTACAGCAGCGCACCGTTAGGTTTTTAAGAGCCTAAAGGTCTGTGAATTTACTTCCGCCTGAGGTGGTTCGATCGGGAAAGGGAAGTTCATCGTGCGATCCCGTTATTGCCCGTGAGCATCTAGCAGACAATCCAAGACCCGCAGCAGTAATACGATTCTAATGCCTGCAGATATAGCAGTTAGCCGTTAGAAAAATAGCAACTGCAATTGCTACTTGCGTAGTTTGTTGTCTGCAACGCCTGTTTGCCGCGACGAAACATCACCGGAAGCAGGGATGGATCAGCTGCTAAACGGTAGGCCAAATCAGCTACCAGCGGAAAGACAAGCCAGGTTCACACCCTCGCCTGCCGCTAAAACGAGGAGAAAAAGCGCACGTTTATTGGCTGCGCTGCTGAGGCAACGGACGACGGCTAGAGGTTACAAAGGCAATAATACGGGTACAGGACTAAACGCCGGCCGGCCGCTTTACGCCACATGCAGCTGCTATTGTTTGTCAGTCGGACGCTTGCAGGTTCAGGCAGAATCTCCTGTTGTAGAAAAGATGAACCGCAAGAAACAAGCCATTTAGCCAGCGGCAGCGTTAGTGGAGGGTTCCCTGTAGGCGTGCACAAAGGTGGTAGAGAGTACATCGACATTCACTCGTGTATTGTACCAAACCAAGTCTAGGCTCTGTAATGAAGTGCCTCAGGTAGCATACGTACAGTGGGATCCAGAACGAATGCATTTCAACAAAGACATGTTAAGGTCTAGAAATGCCTGCTGGT